GTTTTTGAAAACCGGGTTATTAGATGATTTTTAATATCTATGATGCATTATCAATTTTACAACCCTCGCATTTCCGCTTTTCCAAATCGACGAATTTGCATTTCCAAATGTTCCTTTCACCCTCCCAAAAAATTACATCTATCCTCACTTCAATTAAAGCAACCTCTTTCAAACGACCCTCTCTGTCTCGGATCCTCGGACCCCCGGCCCGGTGGCCCATAATTTGCGCTTTTTGCCTGAGCCCCGCCGAAATAGAGCTCTCCCCCCTTGCCTTGGCGGCCTCCCTCCGTCGGGTTGCCGCCCGAACCACCCAAAAAAGTCTCATAAAATCAGACACGGCCGGCGGAACTGCCCCCACATCGCAACTCTAGCCCTCACCCGATGGGGTTGGTGATTTTTGAACAAGGGGAACGGCTGGAAAATGGAAAAAATGCCTAAGGTAGGGTAGAAATTCACTAGAGACTGCTCTCAAGACTGCTCACTCCCTCGCTCTCTCGGACTCTCTCATTCTGTCTCGCGCTCTCTCTTACTCCCTCTCTCTCTCTCTCGCTCTCTCTCGCAGTCGCTCTCGCTCACTCTAGCTCATTCTCTCACTCTCGCTCTCGCTCTCTCTCTATCACTCGCTCTCTTTCCCTCTTTCTCTCGCTCACTCGCTCCCGCCTTTGCTAGTTTCTGATTTCATTCTGATTCCAAATCCTAAACACATACCTGATCTACAGATCCCAAGAATTCGTATCCATCACTGTACCAACCCCTGAAAACTCCGTTTTATTTTCTCGTCCCCCACCCCCGGATGACTGTAGATGGCCAGAAAAACACAATCACGAGGCTTGGCATCTGGCCAGCTCTCCTGTACCATTCAAGAAATCGGTAGGATCCAAAAGTCCGACACAAGCCCCCGCGTGACTGAAGATTTGTACCCTAGCGCGGCCCCAAGCGAAAAGCCGCTCCTGCTGAGCCTTAGGGTTACGGTAGCAAGCGAAGACTAGTAGGGGCTCTAGATGGGCAGACCATGTATCCTGGCAACAGGTTGGCACTTTCGAGGCGATTAGCAGATTCCGGGAGGGGGAAGATCGTGTAGAAAGACCGAATAAGGTGAAATCCCTACTCATCCGCATTTTGTCACCGGAAACGGATGAGCCGCTTCGGCTCTGCGGTACTGTAGTCTTTCATTAGTACTTTTTGTATACTTTTCAATCTCGGTTTACAAATCCTAGTCTTAGGCTTAAAAACATATTCTCGGGGTTTAACCGGTCCAGGAATCCCGAAAAGTGGGAATACCTCTTGAATAACCCAAATTCCTATAAGATCTTGATCAAACTGCCTGAAGTGCATCTGGATTTTTTATATGTACGCTAATCTTTGGCTCGTAGCTCGTTGAAATAGACGCTCAAATATGCTTTAAAAAGCTAATATCTTTACATATTTAAATTCTCCATGGTATTCGTGAAAAATGCCAGCACTGGTCTTTTTTTCATCGAATTCTGATTAAATCCTTTCCAATATACAATGCGGGACCTTGTGCCCGACAAGATTGATGTGATGATCATTTTATGAGGTGTGCTATCCAGACCCAATATCAATCTAGTATCAATCGCTCATTTCCGCAACCCCTCCGCAAAATTTCTTCCCCAAATACCCGAGCCCATTTTGCGATAATTTGCTCTCTATGCTATGGCAAACAGTCAAAGCCGAGCCAAAACCGCCTGACCATGGGGGGGAAGAGTCAGCGCGCAGTGTTTATCGCGAAATTCCAACAGCGGGTAGCAACAGCAGCCTATCTATCTCCCCCGACCTCTGTGGGTGGCCCTGAACAATTCAAACCCCCGAAAAAGGCCCTGAAAAAGGCTCTGAAAAACCTCCTGAAACCAGGCGCGCAAATTCGAATTGGCAGGGTTAGAGGGTTAAAAGAAAGAAAAGCTAGCTAAGCCTACCCAGGTGGGCAGATTGATTTTGGGGGCTGAAGAAGGAGAACTCATCGATCTCCTAATGCCAGATATGCCAGATATTGCTGGTGTGCATAGTAGTGGAGTGTATGGGGAGGACAGCGAGGTACAGCAGTGAAAAGCCAGCTGCAGTAGGCGGGTCTTGACTTCTAATGCTAAATTCAAGGTTTTTCAGCAGTATTCAATTTTTTCTGAGGTGCTAAAGTATTACTATAGCGTATCATAGTTTTGCATCACTCGGAAATGCGCAAAGGAGTGTTGCGTTTCCGCCTTTCTCACCCGCGTAGGCGCCCGTTTCATGCCCTGAAAATGATCTATGGAAAAAGGGACGATTTGGACAAACTCTAAATATTTTTTTAAGCATGAGCTGGCTGGGCTTTGAGGGTTTGAGGCCCTTAGGGTTTAAGTTTAGCTCCAACTTGGGTTTAGGCTTAGACTTAGGCATAGGCTTAAGCTTAGACTTAGGGTTTGGCTTGGGCTTAAGCTATTTTGCGGCTTTCTAATTTATTTGCTAAATACTCTTCTCGTGTTAAAAACTTTTTTCACCCAAACTGCAACCCCCCCAGAACCCCCCCCCCATAGACCATATCTCATATCCAGATCGACATCGGCTGCCGCTCCCCCCCAAAAATCTCAACCTATAGGGTCAGATCTCGGGGGTCGGCTTTGCGCTCTACCACACACATACATACACCCAATGCTCGTCAATCCTTCCGCCCCAAACCCCAGGGTCATCGCCGAGGAGCCACGACCCGGGGCTTTATCGGAAATAGGCGCATCCCCTTTCGGCTCCCGTGTAGGCTGCTACCTGCCTGGGCGTGCCTGACAATTCCCATGTATGTGTGAGCCAACAGGGGCTGAAAAACCTTGAAATTGCAGCGTGGCGGCTCTTTTGTGAACCCGGGAGAGCGCTGTGGTGGTGTTGCGGAGTTGCGTTGCGTACTCTCGGTGAAAAACGGGCCGTGTAAAATTGGCCGCACTCGGGTGGTGGAGGGGGATTGGGCATAGTTACGAGTGCGAGAACCAGAGAGACAGCCAGAGAGAGAAAGAGAGCGAGAGAGAAAGAGAGAGCGATAGAGTTGGAGAGATAGAGTGGAGTGGTCACTGTTTGGAAATTGCATTGTGCATGTGGTTGCGATTTTTGGTTTAGAAGTGTCTTTTTTGAATTTTTCATCCTAGCTTCTGTTAGGCTTACTACACCAAAAACACAAAATAGGAAAAATAACTGTATTTGAAGGTATTGGACTCTTAAAAACTCAAACTATCTCAGATTCTATTGAAGCTTTTATAGTGAATGCAACTGCGACAAAGTTAAAAATTCCGTGACGATACTTTACACCTCTAAGCGTTTCGAAATTCCGGGTTGCCTTGAGAGGAGTTTGGCAGAAACCCTGTTTCTAAAGCCTGCAGGATACGGTAACCGACCTGGCTAGAATCCAGACATTTACTAAAATTAGAATTTCTTTTAAAGGGACGGCAACACCAGATCTCGAACCCCCGAAAGCGAATTTCATTCGCCTGCTTTTTCCAAATTAGCCACTTCGCTTCCCCCGACGCTACACTACGCACCAGCCCCATTTCTTCACTAATTCCCAAAACCCCTAGTTAGCCCCAGTAACTATGTAGGGTAGGCTGCTACTAACCCACCTAACAAAAAGCCACTCTGAACGCAACATCCGCTCCCCCGTTTTTCCACTGGCCCGGAAAAACACTTTCCAAATGGCCTACCGGGGAGGCAGGCTGTCCCTGCCCTCACACTCAACTCAATCACCCCCATTGCATTTCACCCACCATCCCTTATCTTCTTTTTTGCCTATGTGACGGGGGCTCGCAACAAGGCGCAGCGTTTTTTTTGGGTCAACCACCGGACAGCCACCCAGCTGGCTTACAAGTTTTTTGTAGGCATAGGAAAACTGAGAGGTGGGGGGGTGAAGCTGGGGGTCAGGCTAGGGAGGAGGAGCATGAGCTCGCTTTTTCAGATGATGAGATATCACCTTTATTCAGCCAACTATTATTCAAATTAGCCGCATTTTGGCAAATTTCCAGATTTGAGTTTCAAGCTTCAAGCCGAAGTTTTAAGCTCAAAATTGTCATTTTGAAATTTTCAAGCTAAACACAGAAACCGGAAGCTCCTCATTTGGCTTTATTTAGGATTTTTCAGGCTGAAAAAAAACCGCCAGTTGAAGCACTTCATTTAGAGTATACATGGGTCGACGCTTGCATGCGCCGCATAAGCGTGGCCGGCCACGCTCTTCCGGAGCGTGGAGAGCCACGCTGGCGCGCGTGCCTCTTAATAAACCACGCCGAAATGAGCGTGGCCCGCCACGCTCCGGAAACGATTATGCAAAGTTTCTAAAGATGCAAAATCAAAGTTTTCCAAGGGGCATGAACGCAAAAAAACGATCCGCTTTCGTGAAGCTATCTAACAAGAAGTTGAATCACGATCTATCTTATTTATTTATCACATTTAAAGATGACCCTGATAGTTATGTATCGGCAATTCATTTTTGCGAATCGAAATCATAAATATATGTCCTTTAAATTTTTGATTTGCATCTGGAGTTCAATCGCGCGCGTGAAAAAGCACGCATAAAGCGCCGCATAAGCGTGGTCCTCCACGCTCCGGAAGAGCGGGCCAGCCACGCTTATGCGGCGCATGCAAGCGTCGACCCATGTATAATTTAGAGGTTTTTAAGCTGCAGACCGGAACCCCAGATACCTTTTGATCTCAAAGTTTTTAGCCAAGCTTCTGGGCCCTAATCTTAACCTGCAGATCCCCACCAAAAAAATTATACCTGATCCCCCTCCTAAATTTTTTTTGGCGCCACCTGACACCGTTCTCAAGGGCTACGGTAATCCTAGTCAGTTTTTCAGCTGGCTTTCTTGACCGCTTCCAGGAGCTCCCACAACATAGTACCAAAATTTTCAGCTTCATCCTAAATCCACCCAAAAATTAGAGTTTTGTTGCCGCTTTTACTTTTGTAGCTGTTTCTCAATTGTTATTTGTCATTTTTAATACTTCAGCCCTTGGATTGACTTGCTACCTGATCCGAAATGAGCACGGAATTCACCGTTGTCGAGGAGGCCACCCGCCCGGGGGTGATTGTGAGCGCCCAGGACGGGTGGAAGCTGTACCAAAACCATGTCAATTCGATGAACCTTGCTTGGCAAATGTCGCAAACATACCTGACGAGCTGCACTCTGAATGCGTGGGAAGCGACGGACTATCAGTTTAGGTTGGAGTTAATGCAAAAGCCGTTAAACTTCAAAAACCATGGGGAAATTGTCCGAACCAAGCTCTAAAAATAATTTTAAGTGGAAGTGAATCAAAAAAAAATCCTTATAGGTAACGTCTTAGCGCTTAATTTCAGGATGCGCTATGTTGCGGCTGCTTCCGGCGTCCCTCCCAACGCGTTCACCCCGGAAGTGCTAGCCGCCGCTGCCGCCTTTCACGGCCAGCCGCCCTTCCAGCCATTCTGGAATCCATTCGGTGGGTAGTCTAGGGAGTAATTAACATAATGCATGCTTGATGATAATTTAAGACTTACATGACTTAGTTCATACCCGGTAACGCAGGGTACACATTACAGTACTTATTACTTATCTCCGCGAAGTTCACGATCTAAATTTAGCCAAAACTCGGTCGATCGTCAACTTCATAGATACCTTATACGTACCTACCGCGTATTCACTTCATACCTGGGTACAACCTACCGTAACCCCGAGATCCCCCTTATCCGACTTCCCGATCTCGACTTATCTCCACGAAGCCGCACTTGACCTCAGATGTCGCAAAAATTCAACCATCAACTGAAGATATGCCTTGCTTGCTACTTACTTTTTGAATCTCGGGTACACAGGATATAATCTTACCGTACCCACCGAAATCACCATCTTTTCCGTACTTCCCGATCTCCATGTATCCCCGCGAAGCCGTACCTGATCTCAGGTGTAGCCCAAAATGGGTGCATAGTCCGCTCTAGCGCATGACTCCCTAATTGCCCCCCTTCTACCCCCCCCCCCCCGAGGCGGGGCTAAACCCCGCACTACCGCAGCTGCAATCAGCACCTAACGCCAAGAATATCAAAATTGAGTTCCGCCCACCTGAGGCTTTGGGGGAGGTACAGTGGCTCGGCATAAAAATGCGTAACCTGAGAAACTAGTGCATGCTAATCTTGGCTCCATAATCCTGGAGAAGGCTACGGTAGGTTTGTCGGATCCCTGATGGTCAGGGCCGGAGGAATATAATTGGGTCTGAGCGCCGCGATTAGTCGTCAAGCCGGATGCGGCCCCTGGACCTACTACGTGGCTTTTTGGCCTACCTGGGATGGCATTAGAATAATGATGGGGGTTGGGAAATGGAGGACATAGTGGAAAAGATAGTGCTAGATACTGAGGCTAGAATCTTTCTAGCGTCATTTATCTTGAAATTATTTATTTTTCTTTTAGCTGCTTCTGAAAACTCGGTATTCAAAGTCAAGCCTAAGTCAACGCTGTGTTTTGGAACCTACCGTAACCTCCTATTCATCAAAATTTTCCTACTGTCATTGTTTTCGTCTTTATTACTTCTCGCTTCCTCTACTTTTTATAGTCCCCATTTCCTTTAGTGAATAGTTCGACTTCTTTCCTGTGAGCAACAGCTTTCTCGACAAATCGTACTCCGGCAATGGCCATTTTCAGTCGACCTAAGAGGAACGTATTGGGCGGTAAATTTTCATGTGATTTTTCCATGTGTACTGTAGTTTGTTACAAATTTTTTTGAGTTTAGGGGTTCATGAAAAACCGCCACGGTCCATGTAGTTTTACAGTTTTTAGCTTTCAAATCGATTTTACTACGTTTTTCTTGCTAAAATATTAACTTCCCAGCTTTTTTAAAAGCGGCATTATGATCATGTGATCGTGATCACCTTGCCACTGGTATTTATTTAATCCTGGAGGAGGACTCGAATGTTCAGGCCCAATATCGCAGCGTACTTTTCTAACCGCTTCCGCCTTCACTCTCCTCTCTCTTCTCTCTCTCTCTCTCTCTCTCTCTCTCTCTCGCTCTCTCACACAATAACACCTCGACGTTCAATAATGGCAGTGCTGGAGTGGGTAGAATGGACAGGGGCGTATCGCGCTAATATCGACCCACCACGATGCCGCCGCCACCGCCATTCCCACTGCCCGGAATTAAGCGTGAACCGGAGAGAAAGAGAGGGAGACAGAGAGAGAGAGAGAGAGAGAGAGAGAGAGCTGGCTCGGCTTTTCCTCCGCTTTAACACCTACACCACACCGCATAGCCAATGTGGGGGGCAAAAAGTTGTAATACGCAAGTGATGGGTCGAACCGAACGTTGGCCGGAGGCAAAAAGCAGCTGTTCCGAGTTGGCTAAACAGGTGGCTGCTAGATTGTGGGCGCATAAAAAGCTTGATTGGCAACGTTTTGGGTCGCGGTCTGTTTTGATGGGCATAGGTGGCTAGAAAGGTTAAACTATACCATAAGCTAAGATGGGGTCACGCTTCAAATTCAGATCATAAGTCCTTCCGGTGGATTAGGTTTCTAAATCGAGAAAAACCGATTTCCGTTTTAGAATCGATTTTTGAGAAACGAGAGTCCGGGTAGTATCAAATTGTATCTACAGTCGAAAGCTGGAGTTCTCCGAAAAACTTTAATTTTCGCTTTTTATCGACATGAAATCCGTTTATTGACGGAATTGTTGACTTTTTCAAAAATTCAATTCAAAAACCGAATTTCTTACGATAACGTGTTTTACTTTTTCAGAAAATTTTCCCTTCCGCATCCGGCTTTCCGCGGCGGTAGGCCAGGGATAACTAGTTGAGAACACCTTCCGGCACGCTTATTAGTTCAACGCATTTTCCCAATCGGATGATCAAAGGCTGCGCCGACATAATGAAGGGAGCAGTGAATCGCAGGTTCGCCCTTTAATTGAGTCGGAGCCACTGGACTCAGGCCCTTCGTTTTGCTGACCTGCAACAATTGGTGGCTCACGTTATAGCGTCCTTAAAAACCATCGGATATGTTTTGTGGAATTTTTGTAGCTTGTATCTGTTGTCCGACAAGTGCGACGAGGGTAAAAACTATGAAAAACCAATATAGCCAAGAAAACCTCAATTTTTCATCTAGAGAGGCCTCTCGAGGATCAATATTTTTTTTGTTCAAAACTGTACTGTCCGACAAGTGCGACAAGCTTGGCTTGATCACTAGCGCTCATCGCTTCCTGAAAACTTTCAAAAGTCAAACGCTAGCTTGTTTACAAGGATTTCTCTCCATAACTTATACCAGGACGTGCCCCCTAAAATGCCCAATGGGTTCCGTTCCGATACTATCAACACCTCCACTCCCCCTTTCCGCATGGCAGATCGATGAGACAGACCTTGGAGGTAGGGAGCGAGTCTTCTTCTTCGTCTCCGAGGGCGACCACCCAGCCCGACTAACCAGACGCTACCGTATAATAGCCTGGGTTCTCTGGTCTTCTTGTGTTCCCTCCGGCACCGCGGGTCCCGCGACGATTGTCGTGCGGCCGACCGCCGTCTGAGCGCGAACCCCTTTTTCTCAGGGTCTCTTTGGGGAGAGATAGGGGGCGGGTGTCTCTCACTACTCTCTAACCGGACTCTCTCCCATCTGCCCAATCATACATACCTCCCTCGTCGTCACCTCTCTCTCCCCATCCCCTTCTCTTTCTCCACAGACATCATGGTGGTCCATCGATCCGACCCCCCGTACTCTCCATACCTCTATACCCCCCACGCAGGGCGCCTCTGCTGCCCCACCGCATTTCCATTCCCGGCCCCTGGCCCATCCGCCCCTCAGGGCCCTCAACCCCCCAAAAGGGCCCCGCTGTAGGGCCCCTCTCATCAAATAATGGGCCCCACCGCAGTATTTTATGCGCTTTTCACCCGAGTTTTCTTGCATTTACCACCCCAACTAGGTCACCACCCATGACATTCCGTCTTGTTTTCACATGTAGGCCCATGGTTAGGGGGCGCCAGGTGTATTTTGGCGCCAACCGGAAGGGTCAACCGGTAAGAGCTGTGTACTAGATAGTGAGATAGAACGATGTAGTTGTAAAATAATTAGGAAATTTAGTAATTAGCATCTAATTAGCTTGTCAAAAATGGATTGATTCGTGGAAAATCTTTGAAAAATATTTTGTAATTTTGGATTTGATAGATTTTTAGGAAAAAACTACTGAAGACATTGCCGAGCAATTTTGGAAAAATAATAGAGAGCAGAAAAATTTGGCGACAGATTGAAAGCTACTTTCACATACCCGGATTACGAAATAGGTTATATGATGTTAAGTAATGCTTGAATAGCAAAATTTCGCTTGCGAGTAGTCAAAGATGATCAGAAATAGCTTATGTCAGGGTCAGTCAAGCAAAAATACGGCTTGAGCCTTAGCGATTTCGGGCTAAATATGCTTCCGGGGCAGCATACCAGGCTTAGTAAGATAAAACCCGGACTGGCGTCCCAACCCTTAAGTAAATTTTTTTGACTTCCGTTTCCCTTAAGGATAACTCCTTGAAAAGCTATTAGAATTCTGAAAGTTGAATCTCACGACATTGCGCTTTTTCGGTTATTCCTGTTCTTTTGCTTGCGCTCCTCAAATGCATTGGTATAACTTTTTCTGCTTTTCTTTTCCTATTTTTCTTTTTAAAAACCTTTTTGTTAACTTAATTCCTCTGCGTTCCTTTCTCCTCCAATCATCAGCCCTTTCCACATACTGTAGCTTCCGTTGCCATGACTTTCCGCGTTTCCCATACCCTCTAGAAAAGACAAACAAAACCACCTACCGTACCCCTCCCCCGGGGAATTGAGCCGTTCTTTCGAGAGTTAATTTCATGTCTCCGCCTCTTAATTTCCACCACTGAAGAGAACTATCGTATTCTGAGGCCCCATAGAGAAATACGGTAGTCCCATTAGCCGCGGAGCCGGCGCCACAGGTGATTTATGAGGTACGCCGGTCGGCGCCTGAATTAGTCTCTGGGGTACGGTGGAGTGTAAATTGACCTTCCCATTTGGGACTGTGTTACGGTACTAGGATAGGGTTACGGTAAAGCTATAATCGAGCTTTAGCACCTAACTTGTTGCTTAATTTTGCGTTTTTTTGGGTGCTAGGTAGGTTTTATATAATTTTTTTGGCACGGCCAGATTTTTAATGGTTATAAATTAGGGTCTCCCGGTCTTAACTTGACAAAAATGTTAAACCTTGACGCCAAAATCGTTTAACCTAATAGGGCGATCAGATTGGGCGGAAATTATCGGATTAATAGATATGGTGAGGTGGCCGGGGCCAGCTGCTAATTGTCGAGCCAAAACCGTTGCCGAAATCTCTCTCTCTCTCTCTCTCTCTCTCTCTCTCTCTTTCTCTCTCTCTCTCTCTCTGTCTCTCTGCTTCTCGTTCATCTCACCGCTCTACCTCTGCAGCCTTGGAATTTTCATAGTGGTTTTCAAATTTTGCGTTCCTTGACGTCGTGCTCCTTTTACAGTTGAGTTCTAGAATGCGGGGTCGCAAGGGCCAACCACCTAAACCACCGCCTCCAGACCCACCTCAACCCTCAGCTCCAAAAAGATCCCAGCCAGCCTCATCTCCCAATGTCCCCGAACCGGAAGCCCTCGTCAATATGGCTCGCCTAATCCCCTCTTTGCCATCCGAGCAACCATCCACCTCTACCTCATCTTACAGACCTCCACCTTTTGATCCGCGGCTACATCCATCCAACTATAACGATTTCCGATCACCAGCTCAACCTCAAAAAGTCGGCCTGGTTCAAAATATCGTCCGGAAGTTCCCGACGTTTGGGAGTCGTCCTAACGGCCCTAGCCCTGGACATCCCTACCTACCACCTGGGCCTCAAGCTCGACCCGGCTACGATCGCCCTGCATTGCATATGAGCAGCTTTGAAAGGTCTCAAAGGGCTCACTCACCGCTTGGCCCACAACCTGGAATGCACTCACCTGGCAGCAGTCCCAGCCCGGTCTACAGGGTTTTGTCACCAAGAGTGGGACCTCCAAGAATGCCGGAGCATCAACCAATACTTCCAAGGTTGCTACCATCTACCTCGAGGCCGTCTACATCAGTTTCCGACCCTCCGAAGCCGCCAGTCATGAAAATCCCTACCCCTGCGCCAACTACCTCAACCAGGCCTCCGGAAAAGCCTCAACTCCAAAGAGCTTCTTCTAAAAAAGAGGCCATAAAGATTGTACCCATCAAAATATCTCCCAACCCCGCAAAGCTCGCCCAAAAACCAAAGCCGAGCCCTGAACCGAAGCCTGTCTCAAGCTCAGAAGCTCCTGCTCAGAGCTCGGGAATGGTTCGTATCAACCAGATACCAGCTTCTGTCCTTGAAGTCGTGATGGCTGGCCAATCGGGAAAAAACATTGACAACGAGAGTATCCTGCTCGCCATGCAGGAGTCGATTCAGAAGCAGCTTGACGCTGTCAGGGCCAAGAAGCAGGGTACTCAGCAAGAGAATGTGCCTACAGACTCCGGCGAGAATGATGATATCATTGATATTGAAAAATCGCCGGCGAAAGGAACACTTGGGGTCCCAAAGCGAAAGGGGGAGAAGAGTCCTAATGATAAGGAAACAAACGGGAGTGCTGAGAAACGAAGACGCCCCGGTACTCCACCGTCCACTTCTGGTAGCTCAAAAAGTTGGTAATTTGGTTAGAAATAAAAACTGGGAGGCTAGGAAATTAGAATATAGAATTAGCAAACCGGAAATCGCCGAAAGCTTGATTACAGTATATTTTTCAGTGCCAATCCCTCGGGCGGCGGTTCCGGCGGCTCCTGCTCAAGCTCAGGCTCTACCTACTCAAGCTCCGGATGTACAACGCATCGCTCAGGAAAGTGGGTGTTTTTGCACGCGTTTTCTACTAGGCTCGGGTTACTGTAGGACACAATTCTCTCTCTCTCTCTCTCTCTCTCTCTCTCTCTCTCTCTCTCTCCTCTCTATCCTTCACGTATGTAGTTTGCTCTTCTCGTTTCCCAGGCAACCGGACATCCGATCCACCCCTATTTACGGGCTACCGTAACCCATGCGCATCCATGACACCCCCCAGCTTGCTCTAATCCAACCATTTAGCTCAAGCCCGCCGAGCCCGAAGTGCCAACGTCGTCCAAACCCTCGATCGCCGCAACGCGAGAGCTGCTGCTCCGCCAGCCGCCGCTCTAGCTGCTGCTGTTGTCGAGCAGGAAGACAACGACACCGACGACGTGAGGAATCAACTTGAAACTGAGCACAAGCTTTTTAGTCCGACGAGGAGATCATCTTGACCGATTCGACGGACTCGGGAGAGGAAGCGCCTGGAGACGGGGCTCCCGCTCTGCAGCCAGCCGAGGCCGAGCCACCAGTTCGTGCTCAGAGACGTCAAAACCGAGCTGGCAACAATCGGGACAGGGATGCTGCACTTCATCGTCGGCAGGGACCGAATCCCATCAAGTTAGTATTAGGGTTTTAAAATAGAAAGAAGTAATGCGAAAGGTGGCTAGGCTTAGGCTTAGGCGAGGGTTTTCAAAATTCATTTTCAAATCTTCATAGCCAAACCCCTTCCAGGAAAGCCAAGCAGCGCATGGAAGAAGCTGGCTGCAGCGATCTAGAGGAAGACGGAGACATCGACGTGACTACAGTCGACGCTTTCGTCTGTGCCTGGGCTCGCTGCGGGAACAGCTTCAACAACAAACAGGTCGGTGACCGGTCAAAAGCCCAGATTTCAATCAGCGCCCGAGGTGATGACTCACGATTTGTTATTCAGGAATTCTTGGATCACGTGAGGTTCATCCATGTCAACCCATCGAGCGACTACGCCTGTCTGTGGGACGGCTGCCTGAGGTTGGTCATACCCCCATTTCTTGTCCCTCACAGAAGCGGCTTATCGATTTTTGTAATAGCGCTTGGCGATTGGGGTTTCGCAATAGTTTTGCATAGGTTCTTTTACATTAATTCTTATATGCTAATTTTTTTAAGGCGCGACCGGTTCCGCGCCCTGTATATGCTAGTGGTCCACGTCCGTCGCCACACCGGAGAAAAGCCACATCGCTGCCCGGTAATTATAACTTAGGATTTCTTCATGAAATTGACTTTAGCGTGCGGGCTGCTTCAAGGCCTACAGCCGCCTCGAGAATCTCAAGACCCACGAGAGGTCCCACAGCGGAGAGAAGCCGTACGCCTGCGCCCAGTGCGGCAAAGCCTTCTCCAACGCGTCCGACCGTGCCAAGCACACCAACCGGACCCACTCTGGGAACTTGGTAAGTTGATATTTTGCACACAAATTTAAACTAGGGAAGTTACAATTTAACTTTTTTAGAAGCCCTACGAGTGCGGACACGAGGGTTGTCGCAAGGCGTACACCGACCCGTCCAGCTTGAGGAAGCACATCAAGACTGCCCACGGCGACCACATCTACGAGCAGATGAAAAACGAGAAGCTGAAATCATCTGGAGGACGTTGGCCTCGAGTAAGTCGTACTCACTCGTACTCCTTACTGTAGCGTGTTTTACATAACCTGGAAATTCTACTCGGGGCCTAGCCTGTCTTGTGCAAATTTTTTCGCTGATTCTGCCTCTGACCTCGTATTTTTAGCGGAGCATGAGCTCCAAAGTTTTTTGTTGGAAATCGTCAAAAATCGGACAATTTTGGACCCCCAAAAATTTTGTAAAATCCATTTTGCGCGATTCAAATTCAGGCCTAGTTTTTCAATGAGGATAATTCACGAATCCGTATCTCGAACTTGATCAAATGTGAAAATACGTTAAGGTAGGATATCTCGCAAATTTTTGGAATACAATTCTAGTCCAATTTTCTAAAACCCTACCCTTTTTAGAAACACTACTACAACAGCAAATCGAAGAAGCTCGCCGAAGACGCGACTCGCCTCGCCCACGGCGACGAGCCAGGTACCAGCGGGCAAAATTCACAGGCCTCCAGCTCGGCCAGCCCTGACGACAGCACTTGCCGGGTACGGAATAATAAACAGTTTGCGGTGCCACGTAGCAATAACCCTCCCGGGCTTACGCGTCCACAGGTGCTCCGCCTAACCAGTATCAATCCATTGACGCTTGCATGCTGGCTAGTCTATAGCTTATCTCGTAAAATAGGTTTTTCAGTTGCACCCCCATTTTGGATTTGGGTTGTGTGGAACGAGTGTTTTGTATTGTCACATTTAAGGTCGAAGAGGTGCCGGCCGACTATCCCGACTCGGACAACTCGTCCGGGACGCCGATTATCGAGGAGCCGCCCGAGGAAGACGAGGAAATGGATCAGTCTCCGCCAGGAGCCGCCGAGAACGAGCCGCAGCCGATGCAGGCAGAGCCGGTAAGTGTTGTAGCCAAATTATTTTTGTTAAAAAGTATAGTTTTTGAAAATTTGCAAAAATTGCTTAACTCAGAACCTTGTTTTGAATTCTACCAAAAAAAATTCCGAAAGCCAAATTCTGGTATTCGTAGTTTTAGCAGACTGAGAGAGAGAGAGAGAGAGAGAGCGAGAGAGAGAGAGAGGCGCGGGAGTGGGAGAGCGAGAGAAAGAAACTCCATGTTCTTTGTAAAATTTAATAAAGATATCCTTCTAGGCTCCCGTGCCCGAGCCGCGGCGCAACATTGCCGCACCTCGCCCCAACCCGCATCCCGGCGTACCCGCGGAGAGCCCCGCCCGCCGCAGGAACCCGTCTGGCGCTCACGCTCCCGCCGCTCAACCCGCTCAAGCAGCCCCTCGTCCTGCTGTTCGTCCCGAAGAACCTCCGCCTCCACCCGCCGCACAACCCCGGCCAACCCAACCACCAACCACTCATCTGCCCCAAGATCCGAACGCCTACATCGCGGTCGCGCGCGGCTTTAATGTGCCCCGCAATCTACCGACCACCAACCTTTCCACCGATAGTATTTTCGATCCCACCCTGATGACAAGAGGTTGTATAGTCTATGAAGATATCCCTGATGATGATGTGCTGTTCGATTCGATGCCCGACAACGAGGCATCGAGAGATGAGAATGAGGTGCTTGTGGAAGCTGTTGAAATTGAAGAGAAGGTGCTGGCTCCACCAAAAGCGAAAGATGTGCTCCGATTGACAACAAACACGGAAATGTCGAGGGTCGAAGCCTCCGCAAAAACTACCGAGGATAATACCACTGATGAAGATCTGCCAGAAATGATACTAGAAGGTGTGGCGCGAGAAACGGAAACGGAAATTGAATACGAGCCAGATGTCACAACAATTCAACTGGAACGATTGGCTCTTGAGCCGGTAGTTTCGGATCCAGCCCCTGTTGAGCTGGCATCACTTGTGGAAGCACACCAAGGCGGTAGGTCTTAGTCATTTAACCAGAGTTTTGTATAAACTTCGCGATGCCCTATAGTTTTTTTAAAACCCTAGCTACAAAACAAACTTTCGAAAATGACGCCATAAGAATATTTTTGGAAATTTGAATAAAAATTAAATAAAAAAATAAATTAAACTTTTAGATGCTAGAAAAATCTTGAAAGAAACGAGAAAAAAGATGATCGCCTATGAGACGAGGCTTCGCTATAATGGCATGACGCTCGCCGATTTGTTTGCCCCTCACCTGTGCCTCGAGGAATCAGAACGCCTCACCGGCCAGGTCTCCTACGACTTTGTCAGTCCGGTATATACCTATTTCCTCAGCAATAACCGAATTTTTACAGCGCTTTCTCCAGGACTTCAGCATGGAGCTACGATCTGAGGTCGAAGAGGTGGGACCCAAAATAGCCTACCGTATGACAGCGATTTTTTTTTAGGTTCTCCAACTCACCTCCTGCTCATCCGACCCCGAAACCGAAAAAGCCAAGCGAATCATGACTGCTAAGAAAAAAGCACAAGCCGCCCAAGAAGCAGAAAAACGACGAGAAGCAGTTCTTGCGGAAGAAGCACGCCTGAACAAGATGGAAGCCGAGATGATCAAGAAGTTCCTGATCGCTAAGCCGCACTCTTGGACGGATGAGCAATGGGAACTACGGAGAGAGCAGCAGGATAACTGGAACCGGTGGCTCCAAAGGAAACGTGATAAGCTGAGGCGAAGGGCTGGGGAGCCGGAGCAGGCAACTCCAGTCCAACAACCGGTACAACCCCAATACCAAAGTCAGCCTGATCCTCGGGTACGGTATCATCATAACATGGCGGCATTTCCGGATCAACCGAGATACTACCAACAGCCGCAGTACCCTGTTTACTACCAACATCAATACCCGGGCTACTATGTCCATCCTCATCAATATCCTCCCATTTATGGATATCCTCCTCACTACGGACAAGTATGGAGTAACGGCTACGGGTATCCCGATCAATATCCACACCAGATAATGTACACATCGACGATGGAAGACCCAGAAGATCAGCAGCAGTATACGAGGCCCGGAAGTGCTTGCGCTTCCGAGACTGAGTATCCGGCCCCCAGCTCGATCAATTCGCTAAAGAAGCTCGCGAAAATTGCTCGAGATGGTGGCGACTCGGTGCGAGAATCGGATGAAGAAGGAGAAGGTGTGCAAGAACCTGAGCAGTCGCAAACAGCACAAACAGCGCTCTCTGATGAGGAGGATGAGACTCAAGCGTTCGACACGGAAAAGCTGCTTCGGGAGGATGAGGATGTTGATTATAGCCAGCGCAGATGGATACCGGTTCTAACGTCCGATTCCCCAGGTAAAACGTTTTACTGATTGAACGGAATTTTAATTGGAAATAATAAAAATTCGGTACTATTGAAGTTGGGGGGCAAAATTTTTTTTGGGTCATTTTTTGGGCTAATTGGTCAATTTTTCTCTGGCTTAGGCTTAGCTTAGCTTAGTATTGGCTTGGCTTAGGCTTAAGCTTGACTTAGGCTAGGCTTAGAACTAGTTTAACCTAGGCTTAGGCCTATGCTTAGCCTAAGCCTTAGTACCAGGTCCTTAGCTTGGCTTCGCCACAGCATCATTGCTTTTGGCTTTGACTTAGCTTTGTTCAAGCTCAATTTAACTGCGCTTCGGCTTAGCTTAGCTTAGGAGTTGAGTATTGCGCTGGATTAGCCACGAAAAACTGACCAATTAGCCCAAAAATGACCCAAAAAAATTTTGCCCCCGCCCCCCAACTTCAATAGTACCAAAAATTCTCTCCAGTTTTTCATGAAAAAACCTATCCCTTTAGCGCCGGCACCAGCTCAAGATGACCTGGAGAGCCAAGATTCGGATGGCGGGAGCAGATACATCTTGTACCGGACACCGTCACCAACACACGGTAATAGCAGAATACAACAAACCTTCATGATTAATTTTAGAAACCGCAACAGCTAACTTTGACGATGCTTCTGAAGGCCAAGAAGAACAAGAACAAGGTAAAATATCGTCACAAATGTGCATAAAAATTTTGTAGCTGAGCAACTTCCCAAGCAAGCCGCTTCACTGAAACCGAAGAGATTCAAAAAGAAGAAGAGGCTCCTCAGGAAAGTTCAACGTCGACAAGCTCCTGGTAGGCAAATTGCTTCCGATGGTTTATTTCCAATTTAGAACCGGCTATCGCGTCACCGCTCCCTTGCGATCAGGATGAGATCGAGCTTTTCGAAACACCATCAAACGAGCAAGAACTTGATGAGGAAGAACTCCGCCTCGCGGCGCTGGATGAGGACGAGATGAACGTGCCTAGAACATCTGCAATCTGCAGACCGCGAACAAAGCGGAAGTTCAGGTTCAGGCGAAGACGACCTGCCAGAGCCCAGAAGCTGTTTTTCGTGAAGCCGGTTGAGGAGGAGATGGACACACTAGTAAAGTCACCAGCTCAAGAAGATGTGGAAATGGTCGAGGAGCCGGAAGTTGCGGAAAAAGTTGTGGTGACAACGGCTGATGTGGGAGAGGCAGCAGAAGATCCGGCCGTCGAACCTTCGGAAGAGGAGATTACCACCGAAATTGCGTTTGTCAGGGAGGAGGCAGAAGCAGAAGCCGAAATCGTCAAGGCAGAAAAAGTGGAAGCCTCGGTCAGCCTTGAAGCCGTGCAAGCCGTGGTGGTGCTGGAGGAGAAGCTCGAAGAAGCCGTTGTCCCCAGCCTTGAAGCCGTGCCAGCCGTGGTCGTCCAGGAGCAGCTCGAAGAAGTCACTGTCCCATCAGACGAGTGCCACATTGAGTCTCCGCCCAGCCCCAGCATCCCGAGACCGACTCCACGATATGAAATGCCGCCGCGCTTCCTTTATCAACTACCGGTGGTGGAGAACTTCTGGGCTAATTTGGTAAGAAATTCATTAATACGAATTAAGCCTAGAAATAAGTTTTGAAAAAAAATCTAAATGTGTTTTTGTAGGCTGGAAACTCGGGCATGAGTTCGTTCGCTGGATGGGTAAGTTAATATTTTATACATCAACTGTCGGATCCTCAGATGCATAAGACTTTTTATGACCATTTATTTTTCAGGGAACGGGCGCCTCTTCATTCACGGCAGTCGCACCTCAGCCAACCAGCGTCATCCAGCCTCAGATTCTGGGTCTACCGGTGAGTTTATCTCTCCCCCCTCTCTCTATTCTCTCTCTCTCTCTCGCTCTTTCTCTTTCTCTCTCTCTCTCTCTCTCTTTCGCTCTCTTTTTCTCAGCTTTTTAAAATGAGTCGTAATGTTCATTTTCAGCCGATCCCACTTCCAACTGCGTTCCTCCAACCCACTCACCCGATGCCGATACCGCAAATTGACGCTTCGTTCTCTCCAGCTCCAGCTCCAACCCCAACTGCAATTCCAATTTCTCCCGAGCAAGACATCCAGCCTCGGCAAGTCCAAAAGCGCCGCGGACTCTCTCCTAAGGAGAAACAGGCAGTGAAGGTCCAGAAAACAGCTGAGGATGAAGTGGCCCGGGAAGCTGACGCTGAAGCTCAGCCTCCAGTTCTCGGGGCTAGCGAGCAGAGCTCCGAAAATTCCGACAAGCCGAAGCTCCAGGAGATCGAGACATCTTCAGAGGAGCCCGAAGCCGAGCCAGTCGAAGCTCCGAAGAACAAACCACTCGAAGCTGAGGCTCCGGCGGAAGAAGTCGAAGCCGATGAGGAACAGGAAGCCAAGAAGCTTACCGAGATCCCTGAGAACAGGAAGTTTAACTCAGAGGAAGCCGCTCCCAAGGAATTGGAAAAAGACCAAACTGTGGCAGACCTTGTCGAGGAAATCACCGAGATTCTCGAAAAAAAGACGCTAGGCACCGATGAAACTTCTCCCAAAGAGCATGAAGACAAGGAGCTGGAGGCAAGCATCGAAGAGTTGATCATCGACGCCGCGGAGAATAAAGAAGCCGAAGCGCGTGAGACCTCTCACAAAGACGCGGAAGCCGAGGAAAAATTGAGCGAGACCGAGCGACTCCGTTTTCTTAAAGCCCTGGTCGATGCTGTCGTGGCTAACGAGCAGGAGGATATCTCAAAAACCTTGCTAGAAGATGTGGGCTTTGTGATGGACGCGGTCGTTTTGGAGGTGATTGCCTTGGAAAGGGAAGCAGCTGAAGATCTTCAGGAAGCTAGCTTCGTACTCGAAGAACTCGTCCTGAAGGTTGATTCGAAAGTCAAAGCCGCTAAAGTTCTCGAAGAGGCCAGCTTTGTGCTGGAGGAATGTGTCTCGAAGGTTGATTCGGAAATCCAAATCGCTGAGTCGATCGCGGAAGCCAGCTTGGTGCTGGAAGAATGCGTTTCGAAGGCCGTGGTTGATTTCGAAAACAAAGTCACCAAAGCTCAGCAAGTCGCACCCATCAAGTCTGCAGAAGACCGTCGGAAAACTAAGGCTGAAGTGCTGCTGGCGGAAGTAACATCTGAAAAGCCTGAAGAGCAAGCTGAAGCGTCCTTCTTATCCGATGCTGAAACTGTGAAACAAGTCATCGACAAGCTAACAGACGATCTCAAGGTTCTGGTTCTCCCGAAAAGCGCTGAGGAGCCGATGGAGGACGAAGGCATGGATTCCTCCACATCGGCCAAGCCTACGCCAAAGATTGATGCTCCGAAAGACGCCAATGTGGACGAAGCCTCATCCTCCAACCTCAAGGACCCATCTTCAATCGAGGTGGTTCAGGAAGAGGAGGTCGAAGCTGATACCTCAGAGGACACAGTCAAGCGTTCGGATTTTGCTTCAGATGAGGAGATCAACGTCGAAGCCACAAGCCCTCCAGAAGCACTAACGGAGCGCCGGGTTACGAGCCAGAAGAACTCCGTTCGAGAAATGCTCGACGCCATGACAATGTCGGATTCTGAAGAAGAAGAGAAAGAGGCTGATGATGTTGGAAAGGATTCTGAAAACTCCATCAAATCAGAGCCTACCAGAAACCTTCGGGAAGTGGAAGCAGAAAGCACGACATCGAGTGTCTCTAGCGATGACGGATATGAAAGCCACAATATTCCATCGATAAGCCGCAGCAATGAGTCTCTTGATGTTGTCCTCAAAAAGGCAAAGGAGCTCAAACAAGATCAACTAGTCCGAGAAGTTCGTAAGGCCGCCATCATCGAAGCGACTGAACTCGTCGTCAACTTGCAGCTACAAGCTCAGTCACAGGTTGGTTTTTCAAACAAAATACAAAGAAAAATAGATTTATATTGGCTGGCCCTAAAAATACAAACTTCGAAATAAATCTTTTGCAGCAAACTCGCGAAATCCGGAGGGCAGTTGAGCCGACAACTTCAAAACAGCCCGAACAGGCTGAGCCAAGGAAGAAGGATGTCTATGTAAGTTCAAAGCCAAAAACCAGGAATATAGAATTGTAGGACTTCGCTGATTCCTCTGAAGATGAGGTGATCCCGGCCCCGAAACCGACGAGGAAGGCAAGGGCCGTCTCAAATCCGACGCCTCAAAAAGAAGTCGAAATTCAAGAGGTTTGGATTAAAATAATAGCCGTGAGAGCTTAGCAAATTTGAATTTTCTTAATAACCGGCTTGTTTAGCAAATCGAAAAGCCCGAGACCTTGAAGACCACCCCCAGCAAGACGGCTGCAAAAAAAGCTGCGCCCGGAAGACCCGCTGTGAGCAAGGCTCCGGTTGGCAAGGCCGCCAAGAAGGGCAAGCAGGTACGGCTTTTGCATATAATTATGAACAGCTAAATTTCAAATTAAAAACAATATAATCACTATTGTATTTCAGGTTCGAAGAGGAAGGAAGAAGGCCGGAAGTGACGAAGACAGCGATGAAGAATACTTCGCTGGAAAACTTTCATACGCGCATGAGGCCACCTCCCGTACCACTCGCGCTGACACGAGACCCCCAACTGCCCCAGCAAGGCCAGTTGTGGCCAATGACCATGAGGACGAGGCGGAAGAACCAGCTCGGAGACCTAGGAAGTCCAGCCCCCGGAAGACCGCTCCCCAAGCCCCACCAAGGTATGGCAGAGGCAAAGAGTTCCCGGTCAGGCCGGAACCTTCAACAAGCTCAAGAAGAGATAGAAGCTCGGAATCTTCCACAAGCTCGTCGACGGGAGGAGCCCCAGAAGCCGCGAGCACCTCTGAATCCAAGCCTATCCTTGAATTCACAGAGGTACTGGATGAAGGAAGAGTCCCGCAAGTGCCGATCACCAACCCCGACCTACCGGCTAGCATGCAAAAACGGGACCCCAACGATCGGGATGCGACTCCTCCCGCCTATGATCCGAACTACGATCCCGCTGAAGAAATCCAGAAGCAGATGGATCAAGCAGCAATGGCCGGCCCTTCGACCTCGTACATCCAGGCTGTCAATATCGTTCCTGTGAGAGATCAGAAGGTCACGATGAAGGAGCCTACGCCTGAGCCTGAGGAGCCTGAGGATCCGCCATCCCCGCCACCGATGATGCGGAGACCTGGGCCACCGAGACCTTACTCGCCCGTTATTGAAGAGTGAGTTTTCTAAAACGTTTTAATATAGCCTAGGCTTTCGAGGTATACGCTAAAAAGGATGGCTTTTTGAGATCGAGTGCTTTAGCGGCTCGTTAAACAGCTCTTTTAGATACAGAATAAAATTCTATTTCGCTTATGTGTTGAATTTTTAGCCAAACGCCGGAGCCAGCGCAGCCAAAAATCATTCCGGCCCAAAGCCAAACAGTCCAGCCGACAAGCGTGGGAGACAGCCCCAACGACTTCAACGACTAGTAAGCGCAGCCCTAAATTCAAAACGAATCGATTTTTTAGTTATGGTGGCTACTCCCCTGCGGCGCCGATGCCATCCGGCGCATCCGACTCTTACGGAATGCAAATGATCGGACCAGGCCTCTCTCAACATGCTCCTGTTGTCATGCATCCCATGCAACCGTTGCAGCAGCCGAACATCTACTACGGCCAGCCACCGATCGACCCGAACGCTGGCTTCGTCATGACGCATGGCTTGCCTCAGAAAATGCCACACAACCCGGCTTACCATGGGATGCAGCCAGGATATGGAGATCAGCAATGGCAGCCGATGCCGCAGCTCCAACATGCCAATTGGCCGATGGCTTCGACCGCTCCCAGGCAGCCAACCCCGAGCAGTTCGGTCCCCCGGGGTGTTCCGCGCCACGCCACTCAAGTTCAAGATCCGATGGTGCGGGATCCGGCTGAGCGGATGCAGCAGCTGAAACTTCAAGAACCCAAGAAGAAGATGAGGACCAAACAGATGCCCCCGCAGATGCATACTTCACCTATGTATGCGGGGTATCAACAGATGTCACCACACTATCAGGGACCTCAGCAACAGCCCTTCAAATCCTCGAGCTCATGCCAGCAAAAATATCCACCGGGATTTCGGCCTTTGAGCGAAGGCGAGAGTGCGGTTATGATGAACGCTAGGGCTCCGGGCGCTCAACGCCTTCAAGCTAACCACTCGGGCCAGTTCATGGGCGGTCTCCAACATCAGAACGCCCCCCGGACCAGCGAGATCAACAGGCCATCCCCAGCTTATCCTCCACCAAGCTATATGGGTCACCAAATCCCCCCTAACCAGTGGCCGACCACCTCGAACTACATGGGCCCTACCGGCCCCAACATGATGGGCCACTACAACGCCCCGATGGGCCACATGGGTCCCAGCAGCCAGCCCCATTGGCCCCAAGTAGACCCTCTACAACAGCCGGATAACACCACCGGCGACCAGGAACAATACCAAACTTGGCATTAGACAACCAAGGATGGGATCGATTTCTACAATATTTATATAATTTTTTAATTCACCCCTAACCCAATTTATCCATTTTTTTTCTATGTTGGTGGTCTCACTTCTTAAAAATCGCCTTTTTATCGCATTTCCCAGGAACAAAAATGTATTCCACATTTCCCCACGCCCAATTTCCAGTGATTTCGATATTCGGTTTTATTTTTGTGTTCCATATTTTTTGATTTCGTCTTGGTTTTTCTGTATTTTTATCAATTTTCTCAGCGTTAAAACGCGTACTCCCCATTATTGTGACACTGAAACATACGGTATCCCCTTCACCGCATCTGCCCCGCCTAAAATCCACGTGTTTTTGCCTTTTTCACGACCCGGCGACAAAGAGGCCGATCTTGCCACATCCATGTCAATCTCTCCTTTTTTTAAATTTTTTAATATCACTGTTTTGAATTGTTGATTTAAATTCCGGCTTTGCTAATGGTCTATAAGATCCGCTGGCTTTTGCTAGCTCAAAACCGCCGTTTTTCCAATTTTTGCAAAATGCCATTTTTTAATTTCTATTGTAAGTTTGGCTTGGTGATTTTTGATGTGTAGCAATAAATATAGTCAGAAAAACGGCCTAATAAAGTTCAGAAAAATGCACTATAAAGTACAACAGTTTTCAAACCGTGCCTTCGATAGTAAAAAGCGCGAATTTAGCCTCTGATCCTCTGAATTAGCGCCATAAAAATGTTAAATTTTTAAAACTACGTTTATAAAAATTACAGAATTCGAAGTTATATTAAATAAAAACGCCACAAATCACTTTTTACAAAATTTGTTAAAAACATTGGCTACTTACAAAAACAGACTTAATGGTTGTGGCTTTTATGGCATTTTCTGGAATAAATTATTTTAATAACACTGTAGATTCCATTATTTTTGTATTTCAATAATTAACAATAAACATAGACGATTTATTGGCATATATGAAAACCACAAAAATGGCCTCCAAGACGAGAGGAATGATGGAACAAAAGCACAGCTCGTGATGCCTATTTTCATAGTTCAAAGAAGGAATATGCAAAATTGTGTTTGTTTGAGGGGGGCACTGGCCGACTCTCTCGGTGCGCGCCGCTTTTTTTGATATTCGGGGGGAGATGGGATGCAAATTTGGGGACCGGGGGGAAAAGACAGGGTGGAAATGGAGCACACCGTACAACTGGAACAGACGTTAAAGACAGTCAAACATTTTTAGGAAGCTTCGAGTGTCTATCTCCTTCCGGCGGATGAAAGCTGGAAATATTCAAATTAGACATTTAAAATTTAAACTAATTTAATGGCTTTTCAATAACCAAAATTATGTAAATCTAGAGTCAAAGTTTTCTCTTACCTGGTGCAGGTTCATGCCAAGGAGCCCGTTGATCAGTTCGGCGTTGGATCGCTTTCCGACTTGTGATAGCTGAAAATATTTAAATTAGGGTGCAAATTAGGCAAACTAATTTTTATGCAAATTCCCCACCTTGCTCAAATCCATGCCAATTAATCCGTTGATCAGCTCGGCGTTGGCGCGCTTGGAGAGCCGGAACTCGGGCATCTCGTCGAACTAGAAAATTTGAATTTGAATTCGATTCACGTTTCACTTTTTGTGAAATCCTCGTGCTCATTTCCCACACCCCAGATTTTTGACGTGCCAAAAACAAGGTAAAGTATAGTGCCCCAAAGGGAGAGCTAAAATCCGCCGACGCACCGCTCTCACATTGTTAGACTTTTCAAGTTTCGGGGTTCGCAACACAAATTCATAGGCACCTCGACGTCACCCCAAGGAGCGGAGTGGGCCATTTTTGCGTCCAAAAAATTCTGGCCGGGCCTCGGGGCCGGCTAATTTTGTCGTGGGCCCGCGGATTTGCATAAGCTTGGGAAGACGGGGTGGGCTTATAAAAAACGGGAAGCGCCACGAGTCTTTCATGGGTTGTGGATACGTTTAGATTGGGAGGTCGGGCGTAGGTAAATTTTATATTTGTTTAAGACAAAACTACATGTAACGATTCGGGGTTTAAAGGGACAGACAAGATTTAGATATGGATTCGAGATTCGATACGCAATCACGATACCTTTTGCAGGATTCTAATTTCTGGTCCCTGTAAACGAATCTTCCCAAACTCTACGATTTTCTGATCACACTTGCAAAACTTTTTTAGGATGCCCTTCAAATCTTGGGCGAAGCCCGAACCCGTTTTTCACCCATCACCCCCGACCAGACCAGACGGAAATTCGCCTCGTTTCCGGGAACTCCACCCCTGTATTCGGATGGCTATGTCGGATGCTAATTCGTGCCGGAATTGGGTGTCATCGAGTGTTACTTGGAAGCGATGCGGGCGTGGGTTCGTTTTTGAATGAAAGGGAAATGGCAAAGTGGGGTTATGATTGGGTGAAAGGCCATTTGGGTGAGGGTGATGGATATTCGCTTTACTCTGGAGTAGTCATTTCTGAGGGCCTTAGGCTAGCCGAAAAACATGTCATCCTTCGAATTTCGGTAGCGAAGAACAGAAAGGCCAGTTCTTTATGCCTAAAAATGTTTTCAAGGTTGTCGGGTTCCAATTCCGATCAAAAATTAGCATAAGATCTTGCAGGTGCAAAACAAAACACTTGACTACCCCCGAACGTTGCAGAAAAGGCGACGTCAGGGTGGAGACTTATGTTTTCCGTGAGTCTAACAAATCCAATTTCCAACGGCTGACTTTCGCTCGCCTAATCGTCAACAGGGGGGAATTTCGGAAGAACGGGGGTTTCCGAGGGCGCAACGAGATTTGACGAACTCGGCATCGATGTGATTCAAGTGGAAATAAAGAGAGCCTGTTTTGGGAAAGTAGCCAAAAATGTGGAACCTCATGGCACCGTCCCATTAAAATAGTAAAGCTGAATACCACTATTTCCGGCATATTCTAATGGCTTTCTAACAAAAGGGTAATCGAGCTTGTCACAAAAACCCAATTTTGATACAAAAAACGCTATTTTTGAAAACTTTCTGATAACGGGGGTGAATTCGGTTCCACTACACCCAATGACGTTTTTTGCGGATCCAAAAATGACTTTCTGGAGGGCGGCTCCCCCTTACCTGTGAGTTCGAATACATCAACGGTGTGGCCTGTGCGAGGGCGAGAATGACAAGGAACACGGCGGAGACAAGCATCAGTGTACGTCCGAACATCTAAAAAAACTCAATCATCTGAATCCTTTTTTGAGATTTATCATGAAATTGGAAACTTTTTGCACGCTCTAATCGCTTCCCAGAAATAGAGGGTGAAATGGAACTTGCAACATCACCCTGGAACACCCCGAAAATGGCCGGAAGGTTCGGTAAACGCTGCCCAGACTGGGGATGATGCGGTCCCTTTTTGAGAGCGATTTTGAACCCGAAGAGCTGTCAAATGCAGCCAATCTTTGAACTACACGAACCAGAAGCCGTCCAACACCCCAGAGACTGGCTTATTTCTGGGAAATGGGTGGGGAAATCGAATTTTAGCAACTGGGGGGCTTTGTCATTCGTTCGTTGGGTCGGGTTGTCGGGGTCGTTAAAGGGGTGGGGGCGTTTTTAGGAGTCTTTGCTGGGGGTGTTACCGTGGGGGGCGCTATGTTGGTTCTGATTGTGAGTTCCGGGGAAATGTTGCGCTTCTACGGGTTAGGCATGTGACGTTGTGGGACGGGTTAGGTAAGACATAGGCTTGGGCCTTGACCTAGGCGTAGGCAACGGCATGCTTAGGCATGGCTTCGACATAGGCTTAGGCTTAGGTTTAGGCTTAGGCTTAAGCTTAGGTTTAGGCTTAGGCTTAGGCTGAGACTTAGGCTTTTGCTTAGGTTTAGGCTTGTGCTTCGACAGGCTTAGGCTGAGGCTTCACTTCGGTCTAGGCCGAAGCCTGCCAAAACAAGAAACTTACTTCTTGACCCCCAACCCCCGCTTCAAAAATGACGACATAAAACCGAACGCAAGCATAACCTCAGCGCAACCTAGAGCCCTGCCAAAAAAATGTATCGGCCCCTAGGGCACATTTCCTCAATTGACCCCCGCAAATAGCCGGCCACAAAGAGAATATCTCGGCGCAGAGTCGGGTTCTCGTGAAAGAGGAGGGGGAATATCACTAGAATGTGATCGCCCACCAAATCTGATTTCTGCTCAAATCCCCCCGCTTTTTCGGGGGCGAACCCCTCAAAAAATTTGCCTGACGCCTAGCGTGAGAACGGAAGAAGGCGGAAAAAATCATTCAGGCGGTTTAAGGGGAACTTGGGAGTGGTTTTTCGGGGGTTGAGGTGAACAGGTTGGCTACAAATTTTTGTTCTCTGGTGGTTGGTAATTGGGGCTGACGGGGTTGTTGGGGTTAAAAAGCCGAGAGAATTGGGGGGGTAGAAGGTACTGTAGAGCAATGTATCAGGAAATGAACAAAAAAATGGTGACTTTAAGGTACTGAGAAGTTTGCAGAGCTGATAATGAAGCAAAGCTTTGAAATTGAGTCTACAAAATTCCGCAACTGTACGCAGCGAATACAGTTGAAACGTGAGCTTTGGAAGGCAATAGTTTAATAGTCATAGTACATTACGTTTGATCCATCAAACGTATAGACTTCTTAAAAATAAGAAAAACACGTGTTTAGAAAGAGAAACTGTTTTCCTAAGCAATCCAAGTAAAACGGATTTCTTGAAAGTACGCGACAGTATGCTGTACGCTACAAAACGCTCCAGTACCCTACGGTTCTCTGTGTTCCGAACACTACAATATACAATACGCCCTTCAAAACTATACGTACCTTGTAAAGGGGCGGCAAGTGTATGTGGGTGGGCCTGAGATGGCGGCGAGGAGTGTTAGGGACCCGTCGGCTTCTGCTTTAAAGGGACGTGCCGAAGCCGAGCCCCGCCCCATTTTCCGGGCACCTTCCGCTCTTCCAGCCCTTGCCGCAGGGCCCCCGACACGCCCTGATAAGCTTGCTTATGCGGACGACGATGTGGCAAAACTCTCAGGGTGGCTGGAAGGTAATTGGGCGGCTGCAGGATTATGACGTAAAGTGCAAAAAATACGGCCTTTTGGGATACGGTAGCAGGGGCGGAAGTTGATGAGGAGATCTGGTCATTAGTGAGGGGATATGGACCAGAAGCGTTTATAGGATTGTGTACATTTTATAATCCGATTGTATTTCCTAGGCGCATTTTTTTGCTGATGCAAAAAAACATGTTTTTATGAAGAATTCATCATTTTTGGGTTTAGAATTTCAACAAATTTGTCTTAATATAGGTTGTTATTACTCTGAATATCTAAAAATCTTGGAAAAGTTTGTGATAGAAGTCATAAGACAACGATTATCCAATGGTGAAGAAAAACAATTTTTTGATCCTTAAAATACATTTTTTTACTGTATTTTTTGTGCATTTTCAAACCCAGTAATTTTTACGTAATAAGAATTTATTTATTGCTCTGCATATCAACGAAAAAAAGCTATAGAAAAATTCTGAACGAAAATCCACCGAGTACTAGAGTAAGAAGGTGCTGTGTGTAAAAATTATGCACTCCCAGGCTGGTGTCCTATTGTATGTACAATAAAAAAATAGAGATGTAAAATTGTCGAATGCGTAAAGCGAAGACCCAGAGGTGGATAAATAGCATCTTGAGTTAGCAAAAATAATTAAAACAAAATAGACGTAAAATCCGCTGTAATTTGTGGGGGGTTGGTGAAGGCACGTTGGAGACAAGTTCGTCCCATACGGAAAGCAATTTCAAAATTCAAAACGTTGCAGTAGTCTTTCAATGAGCAATTGTTAGCAAATGCGGTCTCGAAAAAATGGCAGAAATCGACAAAAAAACTGCTTTTGAATTAGCATACGTTGAAGGCATTGGCGGTGTGCGCTCCAGAATCGCTTGGACTACACTGTCAGATGGATGAATCACAAGATGACACTTTTTTATTAGGAGCAGTTGTGGGTAAGTGAATAGAGGTAAAAGTCATGTGCTGCTGCAGTGCCAGGCGTGGAAAATGGTTTTGAAGAGCAAAAATAAATTATGAGAGTAATGCGGAGAAGAGGGCGGGCCTTAGGCTTAGGCTTAGGCTTGAGCTTAGGCTGAGGCTTAGGCTTAGGCTTAGTGACAGTTGGCTAGAATTTGGAAATGACTATAAGTTCGTGCTCAGATATCGGCAGAAGAAGCGGGTAGGCCACGGGAGCTCCGAAGTTTTTCAAGTCGGCTTTGAAGATGGCGATTGGTATCCTTGACCTCGTCGAGGGAGTTTGTAGCGTCGCGGAGCTGCAAAAATTACAATTTTATCAGAGAATTTGGGGTTAAAGTTCGAAAATCTTGGAAAAAATTTTGAAGCAAAACCAGTAATTTCGAAGCCAATTTAAGGTCGTAAGCAAGCTTTTTCGGTTTTAAAATATATTTTTTCAAGAGTATCAAGAGCCTTAAGCAGAATTTCTAGAAGCTAAGGAATGTGAATTTTAACCCAAATCCCTCCAATTTCCTGATCTCCGATTCTATAACCTCCCCATGACGACGTTCTTCCCTTTTGCCCCAACTAGAAAATAGCAACATCGATAATCCCTGAACTGATCCCAATTCTCCGGTCACTTAATCCCCCTCCCAATCCTCAATTTCCTTCCCGACCTCCCCGATTGGTCGACCCATCCTCCCGTTCCCCCAGGAATTTTTTCCGCTTCTTTTGCCAGACCTACTGAATGAGGTGTGGGCTACCGTCAGTCGGTGATATTGGCTTCGTTACTGAACGCGTTCTGTGAAGCCCTAGGCGTTAGAGGGGCCAATAATTGGGGCAGAGTGCTTGGGGCACCGTCTCGAGCTCGACAAAGTTTTCGCAAGTGGCCAATGGCATTAATCTACGGAGCGGAGGGGGCAGGGGTGTTGTTTCTTGCGTGTTCGTCAATCTGAATCTGAGAGCCCGACGACAAGGCCGGCCTTAAAAACAGAGAATGGAGGGGACAATGAATTTCGGGGGGCCGTGGCGGGCTAGGAAAAGCCGCTGAGGGATGAACAAATGGGTTGTGGCTTGAGGCCGTGTCCCCAGGGGCAATCGGAACAGAACCAGGGGGCAGGTCGTCGGGGTGTTGGATACTGGATGGCGACGGGAAGGGGTGGAGTGTGACGTTGCCAGAAGCCAGAAGAAGCTTGGCCCCCTTGGAAAGTGTTAGGGCTCCAGCTGTTTGGAGTGGTGGGGAGCACGAGGATTTTGATTTTTTGGGGAATGAGTGGTGTTTTAAAGGGATGGTGACAGCAGGAAAACTTCGAAAATCCCGTTTACAACGTTATAGAGATCCTTACGGGCCTCGGAAGGTATATTTTGCGCCAAAACGCTCGCAACAGCTAATTAAAATTGAAAATAAGTAACTATACTAGTTTTTAGGGCTCTCAAGAAGTTTTGAAGCGATTTTTGGATGTACATTTCTCTACAGAAGCCGCATTTTAGGAAAAATATGCGAATTTTTATATTGCAAGGGTTTTGTAGTGTTTTAAAGGTTCCGGGAAATCATTTTCGATTCCGTAAATTTCATTAAACCGTTAGCAAAAAATTCTTTACGAAAATTTACAGTAAAAATCAACTACATTGATTTATTTTTTAAGCTTGGCTTGGCCTTGAAAAAGTAAAAAAGTAGCTCTGGACTATTTTAGCCGTTTCCAATGCCTTAAAAACCAAATTTGAACACTTTTCCTTCCTAAACCCGAAATAACACCTAATCTCCAATTCCCCCTACCCCATCGCAATCCCAACGACGCCTTTTGCAAGGTGCAAAACCCTCCATCCTTGGCGAGACGTTCGTTAGCAACCCGTGCCCCTTTCCATTCTGCTTCTCCTATCTAACCCCCCAGGCCCCGGATCTAGCCTTCAGACCCCAATATCCCACGTCCGCCATCGCCACCTTCAAACAATGCTGTCATCCAGGGCAAACAGACCGTGAGGGTGGAATCCTCATCCTCAGATGGAGCTCCTCGCAAACATCTCATGCAACCATTTCCCCCTTTTTCTTAACAATTCATCCCACCCTACCCCATCCCCCTCCCTTTAATCGAATTCCCCGCTGCCAATGAGAAAATCTCGGGTACCGAGGCCTGGAACCAGCTGAAATTAAAAAAATGCCCTGAGCCTGGGGGGATAGGCTTCGCAACAATTACCAAAATCGTGGGGGAGGACCCGGAACTGGGGAGGAACAGGGCAGGATAGAGGAGAACGAGCGAGAGGGACCTAGATAATGAGCCGCGGCTCGTTTCCGGAGCATCGGATGGCGTGTCTTTTTGAAAAAACACGAAAACATAGACATAAAGCTTATGTCCTGGGAAAGTTGGTGGGAAATTGAGGGGATGGGAGGTGAAAAATGGGGTTGAAGTTTTGGGGGTTCGAACTTTTCAGGGAAAGCTTATGGAAAAATTTTGTATAAAAAAGGTTGCGGGTATTTTAATGCGAAGACTTGGAGCAAGAGAAGACTATTAGAGCATTCGGATGATAGGTTTTTTGACAGAAGTAAAATTTTAAAAATAATTAAAAATGTTTTTCAACCTTTTTCTGAGCGGTTGTAGCCTAAAATGACAAACAAAATTCTATAAATTTATTTTTGAACTATGTAATAAGATAAATAGCTGACCTCCTTCTTCAGAGTCCGATTCTCTTTTCTCAGCTCGTCGATCTCTTTCTCTGAGCTCTCCAAGCCCTGCTTATACCGCTTCATCTGGCCCTCAATGCGGATCAGCTAAAAAAACAACGATAAAATTTGGTTTTTTAGTTTTTACTCACATTTCCCTGCATGTTCGTGCTCTCCCTCTCGGCCTCCTGCAGTTTCAGCTTGTACTCTCCCAGCTGCTTCGATGCCTCTTCTAAAAAACAACGTCATCCCAAAATCTTGCAAAACAAAAATGTCGATTAGTCGCCAAGGAAAGCGATTTTTGTTTTGCTAAACCGCCCGTCTAGGCTATCCGGTAATAAAGCAATAAATAATTAAATAGCCGGAGATTTTTGAATTAGGCAGATGGGGATGGAGGTTTTAACGCATAATAGTGAACCGATTAAACCAAGTGCCAGAAATGGAGGTCCGAGGAAAGGGGGAAATGAAAGAAAATATAGTTTGCATTCCAAAGATTTCCTCAGAGCCCCATTTTGTGGAAACGAAACACGATCCACGGTCTTTTTAGTAAACTTACTGAGTTGATCCTTGAGATCTAAGAAATGAGAGTTTAGAGCAGGAAAAGGAAAAGCACAGAAACATACTGTTAACGTCTTCTTGGTGGCCGTTATGGAGGGAGTCTCCCCTTTCGTTTTGTCGTTGGCGTCTGGCGAGCATCGTCTGCTCCAGTTCTTCGATGTCTTTTCGCATTTTCTTATTCTAAAAAAGATAAAATTTTAAAACTTGATTTACATACCGTATCCACGAGTTTTCGAACTTTTTCATCAATGTTTGTGGCGCCTGGGATGACTTTTTCAAGGGCCTTCATCGTCTCCACCGAAAATACCACAGGATCTGTTCTTCTAAAATGAAAATTTCTACGTTTTTGATTTTAGTTTGCTTACGTAATTTCAGTCGGGCGATCTGGGTTCTCACTTTCTGTCTGCACCAACGTGAAGCCATTTTCCTAAATTTGCATTTAGCAGTTATGATTTTAACGGTTTTGTAAATGACTCTGGAAATAATTTTCTAGGAATTCCCCACAGTAATCAAAAACCAAAACCACCAACACTTTCCCGCCGCTTATTCCCCCCTCAAAACGCATCCCTTTCCCACCCAAACAATATTTGCTTTTCAGCTTTTCCGTTGATTCACTCATGCTTTCGCGAAAAGGAACGCAAAATGGTCGCGAAATAGGAAAGAACTTGGAAACTAACCTGTATCAAATAGTCTCGATGTGCGATTTCGGCTTTGAGCTGTTCTTGCGTTGCTTTCAGACCGTCGATTGTTCGCTTCAGGGCTCGGACTTCCTGAAAAAATAGAAATAAAGGAAAATTTCAAGAATCTACGAGAAATAACACAACAAAACACCTACACTAACTAAATCCCGAGATTCTCGGTTGGATTGTGATAGCAAAACTTCTTTTTCTTCTAGGTCATCTTTGAGGAGCTCACACTGAAACGTTTTTGTATGTAAAATTTAAGGTTTCGACTACCTCATACAGCAGAGCCGATTTTTCGTTATCCAGGGCTGCATAAAGCTTCATTACTTCTTGGAACTTGTCCTCCATCTCGTCGATGCGGTCCTAAAACGAAATTCAATCCTATTAAATTTATACAAATGATAAGAGCTATTATATTTCGGTAGCCGCGTTAAATAGGCAATTTTGTTCCATCGAGATATAACAAATGCAATAAATTAGGGAATGTAAAGTTATCTAAATCGTTTTCAGTTATATTTTTCAGCAAAGCCATCCAGATCACACTCCACATGCTATTATAAAAATTAAACACCTCCAAGCCTTCCTGCTCCTCCCGCGTCGACGCTCCACCATGGCCATTCGAGGTGCTCTGCAAGGAATTAGACATGCCGGGCGGATTATTCAGTCGTAAATGCCAAATGAATCTATCCACTCCATCATTTGCCTCGAGGCGCGCAACCGATCCATATCAAAAACAATCCCTCTCTTCATGCAATTTCAAAACAATCCCTCTTCCTAGGCAAATTCCCTCTCTCTCCAACATGCATAGTCCCAACCAAAAAAATATTCAAAACATACCGCCCCGTCGACGCGATAGTGTTCCGCATCGTCCTGAATTACGATTTATGCTACATATTGTCTAAATTTTGAATGTACCTCAACAATTTTCCGCTCCATTTGATGCATTCGAATCTGGCGAGCCTCTTCTCGTGCTTGCCGCTTTTTCTGCATCCGTTCTTCGGCCTAAATTGGCGGCTTTGAATTTTGAGTGCGACTTACATCTCTCGAAATTTTGTCTAGGACCCGTTCCTCGGCTTGGAGACGCGAAATGGGTCGCCTTCTTGTTGAAGACGATGTGTAGGAGGACATTTGCCTGGAAAAAGTATGTTTAAGTTAAATAAAATAAAATTTAGTATGCATATTGTACAAAATCGAGAGAAAAGGAAGATTTTGCACTTCTCCGCTGAAGATTCGCATTCAAAAATCATATTTCGCAAATATTAGAAAAACCATTAACGTAAGATTTTAGAAAAACATTTTTCAACAGTACAAACACATTTTAAACGTTTATTTGCTATTTTTAAAAACATTAGTCATCAAAGAAAACGAGAGAAAGGCTCTAACATCATAGAAAACGATTTTCATAATTACAGCTTTGAAATAAACCTAAATAACACAATTTAAAGCCCCTCCATAATAATAATAGCCGATTAGAGCCCCCCACTACACCAGTCAAGTACCCTTTTTGCTTTCTGTTCCTATGTGATGTGCGGGCGCCCCGCGACCGCAACGCACCATGCTTGGTAGAACGAGGAAAAGGGGGGAAGAAATGCAACGCCGGATCCGCGACCAGACCCCGCCGGAGATGGCCGTCCGGAAGATCTCGACACTCGATAAACGGTCAAGACGACGAGGAATGTTCGGGGAACCAAAAATTACAATTTTTGGGGTCTTTTATGCAAAATTTTGCATGGAAGATGGTCTTCTGGAGAGAAAGATAAAAATGAAGAAAAAATCATCAATTCTGAAAATCAGTGCTTTTCCTTATGAGCAATGCTGGGGAACCAAAATTGCCGTTTCGTAGGGGTCTATGCAAATTTCAGCATGGAAAATGATCGCATTAAGCAGAGAAACTTAAAATAATTATCCTTGATTTTAATAAATGTAGTAAATTCTGAAAGTCATGGCCATATTATTTTTAGCAAACGAAAGCCAATGAAAACCTGCAACCCAGGAACGCCAAAAGCGGAAACCGCAAAATTCTCACGGCCCGGCCATGAATAGCCGATCAGCTCGATGACGGAGACGGAATTTTAAGCTTCACCTTTATGGAAAATTAGTAAATTAATCTATAAATGGATCGCTGTCTGAAAAAATAATCATAATTGTAAAAACTATTGAAAGTACCCTTATCTGAAAATTACTTATTACCTCTAATTACCTATCGTAATCGAATCGCTTTAGTCGAGATTCAAATCACGTTATGGAATAAAAAGCACTAACAGTGCAAAGCAAGGCAGATGGCCTTGAGAATTCCGTTGCGTTGGGTTTTTTTGGATCACTCAAGTGCATTGTCAAAACGGGCAGATGGCTGGAAAAACGCGATGCATACGGACATCTGGATCGCCATTTTTTTCAGGCCGTCTGCGGTCTCGGGCTCATTTTTTCGGTGAATATTTGAGTGATGTGCAAGATTTTATCCATAAAAATGGGCGTAGCTGAACTTAGACTGGATTTAAAGGGGTGGTGAAGGTAGAATTTGATGGATTTTGATCTGAAAATGGCCATGCAGCCTGTGAATATTCGGTCGTGATGACGCGTTTGACGTAAATTTATATACAGCATTTCGCAACCGTCAAGCGCGAACATCCTAAAAATTAATTCATCTCAGAACCCAAAACCCACCCTGAATTTATACCGTAACCACCCCAAAGTCTTCATCCCCTCACTTTTCCTATATTTCGAAAGTAAATCGTACTCTCACATCTCAGATGAGCCCCTCCACCGGGGGAAATGAGAGACTGGCCGGTCGTTCCGGTCCCCTGCCTGCTTCTCCTACTTCTTATTCCCCCTCAATCCATCCTCCCCCTTCCATCCTAGCCATTTGCATAACCTCTGCCCTCCCGAAAACTATTGGCCTTGTCCCGAAACTTCGCCCATTCTCCCCCTCATCCTCCTTTCGCCTCGCCGGGTATGCTCTAGTTATTTATTGCTGCAGCATCCGCTTTGTGCGGCTGGTATCGTCGGCTTTGAAGAGATTGGATTTATGCCTCGGGATTTTATTGTCGGGTGTGAGACTTTTGGCGCTTTAGGGGTACGCGACAGACACGAAATTTTGCAGTATGCCATCGAAAAGTGGCAACCGAGCTTACAGTATCCGAATTAGCGTTTGAAAGTGCCCTCCGGTACGAGAAAAATTTCGCGACGAGTTACATATAGGATTAGCATTTTGCAGGCTCCAAAACGAAAATCTTTTCAACTAATTTTTGGAGCCCTTACATGTCGCTGAACCGTTAAAATGAGGTGAATCGGCTTCGTTTATGCGGTTTGATTAACATATTCCATTTTTTTAATTTTCTCGGGATTTATTCCACATAAAAAATGTATGGAGTCAGTAAGATATCTAAAATGCGGTTTTCATCAAATGAGGGCCAAGTCAAACTCGACCACTTTGCTGTCACTGTCCCTTAAGACTTCCGCTTTTCGGCTAGCCTGCTTAGGTTTGTTCCTGATCTTTGATGTTTTGAAGTATCTCCATTTGCCATTCAAAGTAGGATTAGGCTCGCGCTGTTATTAAGTAAGTCTTAATTCGTGACTCCTAGGCGATTTTCGGAGCAACTTCATGTCGATGTCCCTTTCAAAGTAGCGCTCATCGGTGCGTCTGAGGAGATTTGACTACAAATTCCGCTTTATTTTCCGAAGTGTCTGGAGCGAATTTAAATTTGCCATGTTTTGAAATGGGCCCTCAACTCGCTTGACGTCAGCTTCGACGATTTTTTATGTCTCTGTCCCCTTAAAAATAGCGCCCTGCGATCCGTTTCATCAATTAATCCCGTTTTACGACATTTATAATGTTTCCGATTTCCATCCACTATCCAAAGTATCCAAACGAAGTCCACGCTTGCGCTGTTTCGAAATGAGGTCCCCCTTGGGGGCTTAGTCCCGGGCAATTGAGGGACCGGAATGAGGATGGCCGGGCGGGACACCGATCGTATCTCCTCCCCGTCCAAGCCTTCTGGGCCTCGACCTCCCCCCAAATTCCCGGGGCTTAGTTCTCGAATTCTTGCAGGCATGTGTGCTGTCGTGGGATTGATGTCTTTCTGCTATAGCTTTTTGCAATTTCGTCCCTTTATTTTCGAAAAAATAACTTGATACATTTAATGTTATACTTTCAGCTATGGTCCCATTGCTTTGGCTGCTTCTTTCATGTGCAATATGTTTATTGGAGTTGTTAATTTTAACTCAACCAGAGTGGTTGGTGAATGGTACTTTGGTGCAGGTATTTCATTCAATTTTTTACAGTTTTATTACACAAATTATAGGGTTTATATGCAGTTTGCGATCGCTCACAATGCTACCTCCGAGAAACCAAAGAAATGGCGCCACTAGTGTGTCAATTTTTGGGGAGTATATTATTTCTAGGTAAGTCTCTGAACTCTAATTAGCAAATATTATTAAATTTGCATTCTAGGTACGGTAATGGCAATGTTCCCCTCAATCCTGTGCTCAAATAAAAGTCTCCCCATCCATGTCATCGCCAACATCCAATTCCTTGCCGGTATGCCCCATGCCCAGAAATAGCCCAAACCGTCTAAACTAATTTCAGCGGTGCTGCTGGTGCTTTGTGTCATTTGTTTCCCGCTTGACTCGGACTCGATTCATTGTACAATGTCGCAGCTGATTCACTCCACCACTTGCCGGTAGGCGGAAGAAAAAAGCAACGGAAAATGGGGAAATGATGTAAAAAAATTTGGTTTCGATTCAGGTTTTGTATTGGGAAATCAGTGACGTTGGTTTCTTGGGGAGTGTAGATACACGTGACACTAATGACGAATTCGGAAACTGGCGCAAGATCTTGAGCGGAAAATTGGGAACAAAACTGTAACTCGGTAATTCACGAAGCTAGTTCAAACCTTAATTACGAGAAGAATAGGCCGCAATTGGCTGCCGACATACCAGATCTTTGCAAAAATATTATTTTGAGCTATTAAAGTTACGTTTCGTTAAATCTCGGCCAGTTTTATTGTTAGGAAGTAATTACTATACTCCCGAAGTCGTAGTAATTTTTTAAAGAAAGCCGATGGGTTGCTTCTGCTTTTTGAATAGCTTTCTATATCCGAAATTTTTCAAATTTATTATCATTGTAATGACATTAGTCGCCGTACCTCCAGTTGGAATAGACGTTTGAAGGCACTAGGAAGCCAGAATCACAGTAAAGTTAAAAATTCGGCTAGAGCTTGGCAGAAATGAGGTTTAAGCTATAGAAGGCGACTTTGCAAAGAATTTGATTGTGACAAAATATCGATAAATGCAAATTAAAGTACTGTTTGGTCCCTTTAAGCCCCCATTCCAGTGTTGGTTGGGCGTACGCCGTCGGCTGTGTCTGCGCAATGGTCTCCCTCTGTTGTCCCGTTATGGGCAGGCTGGTCGCCGAAAATCGCAGCCGGTAGTTTTCCATTTTCAAATTTTATTTATTGCTGCTTTTAGTTTTGCCGTCGACTCCACCCGAAATAAAGAATACTATATTTAAATACTTTGTCGTGATCTCTGTCTAATATTCCATAAATTTATTCACACATACGCGCCAATCACGGGGCCAAACAGGGGGGCGGGCAGGTGGTTCTTCTAAAAAACTAATGGCATCCGTTGCTTGGTTATTTTTGTATTCTTGTAAAAACCACCAACTAGAGAGAGCAGAATTGTCATACATTGATGGCGAAAGCGAAACCCGGAGGGCCAACAACCAAGGGAGAGAAAAAAGGCGTAAAAACGGGATCAACAGGTGGTAACTGTGTGGGGGAGTGCGGCGGACCGTGTTTTTGAGCAGGTCTCGCCGGGGCTTTGGCACGGGCGAGGCGTCGATATACCATCTTTATTTTTAGAAATCTGTCGCGAAGAAAAGTCGGAAAAATGGAGTTTAAATTACAATATTCAATATTCAATAAAACCAATATTTTTCCGCGACTTTTCCACCCAAAAAGTGACCCTAATGTGCTTGAAGGTCGGGCGGGGCGGCGGTAAGTTTGCACTGAGAGATCAAACTGGACAACCGGGCGGTGCTGGGCGCGTTGACTACATTGAGAAAAACTGGATTGAATTGAATTTTGAGTTTAGTATATTTTTCAATTTTTAAACCGTCAAGGGCCAGCATCGCCGGGCAGAAACCAACGGAAGCGCGCTCTGCGTGGGGTGGGTAACCGGCATACCAAAAAATACAGATAAAAAAAGAGTAATTCGAAGTGCGACAATCACAGTGTATACCTGCGAGATGTGTACCGTAATCGAGAGTTGTGTGAAGGGGTCGGTTTTTAGGATTTTAGGAATTTAGTAGCGGGGAGGGGTACTGTATGCAGAGATTTCGCGGGTGGGGGCGGGGCGGGCTAGTCCTATACAAAGAATAGAGGGGGGTGAAAATCGTTATGGACAGTCATCAAATGGCGCCAGTTCATTACTAAGCAGTACTTTTGAAAGACCCAAAAGAATACGAGTTCGTCAGGGGGTGCATCGCGGGAGGGGGGAACCGGAAGGGTCCGTAAGTATAAAGGCATCTTATGTAGGCAATGTAAGAAATCGGGGTTTCTTGGACGAGGGGTTCTCTCAAGTTCCGGGCGCGAGAATTGCGGTCTAGAAAATTCGAATATCTACCGGTTTTAGGATGAGCAAGGTGGGGTGTGGAGGAGGGGAGGGGCGGGGGTTGGGATCAGACGTTTTGTAGTGATCGGAGTTCCTTCATCGATTTGTCGACAACGAAGAATTTGTTCTTTTCGCCGAACATGCCGAGCACGACGGCCGTGTTTTCGATGACGATGTTGAACGGGATGGTGACGAGGGCGCCGATGAGATACACGGCTAGCCGCAGGAGGGAACGTCTGAAAATAGCGAAATTGAAGGCTCAAAAAATTTAAAAATGATATTTTTTATATATTTTGTGTCTTTTAGGACCATTACCAAGGATGTTACTTACCTATACTTATGCGCACAAGACTTGACGACCCCAAATATATACATGTAGAGGTTGACGGCCCCGACGAACGTCAACGCAAAGTCGATCGGCAAGAATTTTGGCAGTGGGAAGAGCGGGCAGATGAAGATTTGTAGACTGGTGATCGGCATGGCCGCCCAGGCATACAGGGACATGGCAAGGAGAATCTAAATATGCAAATTCTGGTAATCTTTGGAGGCAAATTACCTTGTGCTTCATCGGAATCACCTTCGAGTGGACCGTCAATAGGATTCCTTGTAGCCATCTTTTGCGCTGCTGCAGGAAATCGAACATGGTGAATGGGGATTTTTCGTGCATTTCGCCTAAAATATTTATTTAGGTGATACATGAAAACAGTGTTTTTGCGTATGGATTTGCATTAACAGTTTTGTGAGGTTCTTCTTGTTGTTTTAATTTTTTTGGAAAATCACAGAACTGACTATGCAAAAACCCTTCTAGGCACCGTTTCAGAGCTTTTAAGGCCTACTTACCATCGATGAAATCAAACGAATATCCATGCTGCATTGCGACCATCGAGAAGAAACAATCCTCCGCAATTGACCCCTCCATGCCATGATCGTAGGACACTTTCCTCTCGGCGGCAACCTACAATTTTTGTTTTCAAAATCAGGCCCTGATCTTGTTGCCCTATCACGTCAATATCCTCCTCCCCAACCCCAACAACAACACCCAGAGCGAAATACCAAAAAGAGTTTTTACTGGCGAACGCCAAGGACCGCTAGGGGACCAACATCCCGCATCGGGAAACGGGGTCTACTCGTCTGAGTGTGAAGGTAAATAAACTGTGGCTCGCGTGGGATGAGTCAACCTGCGTGTTTTTTCGGGTTGTTCGGGGGTTGAAGTTAGGTCGGCTAAGCGCGCGAAAAATGCACTTGAGGATTTAGGGAACTACTTTATAGTTTTGGAGGGTTGTTAAGATTTTTTAATTACGTAAAATTATTCCGAAAATGTCGCTAAATTTATAGAAAAGTATAGAACACTTAACTAGAGGATTTTTTCTGAAAAAAAATCTTAAGCTATCCTCTATATAAAGACCTCTCAATTTTTCGCAAAAAAAATAGTTTTAAGGCTAGTTACAATTTTCTTCCACTCCCTTCTAGCCTTTCCATTTTTCTATGATGTTTATCACCTCAACAACCCTTTTTTTTCTTGAAAACCAAAGAATCTTTGCCCGTTCCCTGACTCCCCCCTTGCCAACCATTCTTCTGGTCATTCAGAACCCCCCATCACCAAGTCTCGTCACCTAGTTGCCCCATTTTGGCCTTCGCTCCACCCTTTGCCTTTCCGAATGAATCCCTAAAGACCCCGAACAACATCCCCGCCAAAAACCTCGAAAAACCCTCGAAAATTCACGCTTCACTCTCCTTTAACTATGAGAAAGAAGCAAACTACACTAAATTTTGGGCCCCCACGAAACCGGCCGATCAAAATTTCCTGGCCCCCGCCACCTGCCACCCACCACCCGTCTGACTATATGCCCACAAAAATAATATTGACCAAGCCTCCCCCCGGCGCGTAAAGAACGCACCTGCGTGACGACGTATGATCCTTTCCAGCCAAACAGCGGTTTGTGGAAGGCCTTGAACTGGAAGCGCAGCTTGCCCATGTCGTCAGCGACGCTAAAATAGAGCGATTTTGAGTCATTGATGATGTGGAAATTACCGGAAAGAATCGGCAAGGGTGGTGAACCAATTGACGACGTCGCCGTTGGCGTACGTGATAACTCCCTGGCCGAATTGATGTCGCCCGTCTTCGCAGAAGTTCAGGATACCGCAAATCTGAGAAAATTTGGATAATGAATTAAGCTATTTTAACTTTTTAAAATTGTCTTAATTCTCAAAATAAGATGAGCCATCTTAGGCAAGATGTCGAAACTCATTTTGTCGAAATGTAAATTTTTCGAGGTTCCAATCCTTCGAGATCTTGGTTCGTGGAAATTTGAGTTGGTCGAATAGTCAATTTTTTCAGATTTTAGGTTGACGAAATTTCCATTTTTCGAATTTATGCAAAAGGTTTCGGCGTGCCGAAATACCGACAAAATAAAATCGCGATAGTTTTATTTACGAAAAACTAATTTTTTAATTCAAATTCAATTTTTACCGCATTCTGCGTCAACAACGTCTCCTCATCCAAGTGGACGATCCAGTCATTCTCTTGCAATATATTCACATCCTCTTCCAGACAGTACTGCAGCGCCCGCGCCTTGTACTTGGCGCCGCTCTTTGTCCTAGAAAAAAGCAAAGTTTCACCGCCCCAACGAGTTATTTTTTTTTAGATTCTAGTCCCCACGCCAGACCCATTCCCCTAAAAGAACGTGCGTGAAGCCGGACGTTATCTGAATCCGGGGTGGCCAATGTGGCAGATCGGGGGTGCTGATGACGTGGCCAACATTTCAAAAGGCTCCATTCTTGCACAGAAGCTGTTGATTTGGCCTTGATGATCGGGTTGGTTTCTATGATCCCCGAAGACTAGATAGTTTTCGGATTTTTTTTTGACATTTAAAAGAGGATTTATTACGCAATCCGGGACCAGTGCAACGCTGCAATCTCGCTAGCCCCTGGGAATTTGATAAGATTCAGAACGGCTTCTCATTCCCCCGCTTCTTTCTATCTTTGTGCCTTCTGATTTGGCCTCTCTCGCCGAGGTCAGCCAATACTTTTCGACCCGGGGCGAGCGCAGCAACACCAAAGCGGTGATAAGCGAAGGCCGGTGAAATCAGAAATTGGTCGCGGGAATTTTGTCACGATTGTTACGAAGTCGGGGTAATGATTCGGGTCAATGAAATCAGAGGAATTTTGTGATTTTTGATAGGAAAAAACTTACTTGTAGGTGCTTGGGACAACAACTTCGCGTACTCGGGGCATGCTGGGGAGGTTGATGGGTTTGTCAGTGACAACCTAAAAATTTAATGAGATGCGATTTGTTAATCCTCAAAATACCTCAAAAACATTTATAAAAATTCAAATTCAAATCTACTCAAATTCCTAAAAACAACTATTTTATATTTATACCTCAAAAATGAAGTTTTCCATACCAGCATCGTAGCATTTTTTCATATTGGTTTCAATATTATCCTGAAAAATATGGATTATCATTTTTTAAAAATTTTCGATACCTTGACCATAAGGGGATAGTCTCCACGGGTGACTACTCTGAAGCAAACGAATGGGGACAATAGGGGCGCGGCTTTCAGGTGGATCTAAAGGTATATGGTAATTTTCTGCCATCTAATTATATACAATAAAAATGTCATTTTAATAAAACCCACCTTTTCGCGAAAAGCATTGAACACAAGGAGACCGAGCAGGTTGAATATGCATTGGGGGAGGACGAGGAGTGACGTCAGCCGTAATAGATAGAGGACCGCTGTCCAGATGTACCCGTATCTTCAAAAAAGTATACTAACAGGAATCTGCAATTTGCATACTGTTCGATCGGCTGGATGGGTGTAGGGTCGGGGGTGAAGGCGCCGCAGAAAAACGCGAAGCCCAGCACCCAGCCAGTGAGGCACACGCAGTGGAGCGCGTGCTTCAACTCGCAGGACATTGGCATACACTACCCGCCTGGAAAAATATATAAATAATAATGATCGATGTAAAGCTATTGAAAAATTAGGGAGCAACGTCATTTTGAGCATGAAAAATTAGCAATTAGGTTTTAAAGGGAGAGGGAAGTATCGGAATGAGATACAGAGTGAGCGAAAGCAGAAAAAGAATATTCTAAGAATCAGTCCAAACCATCAAAGACAAAAATAACAAATGACGCCCCCCGAATGCGAGGCCCTGATCTCTCAATATGTGTCTAATCCACCGCATAGCGAAAATTACATGTGGGATCGCCGGGGCGAGAGAAAGGGGGCGCAGGTGGAAGAACCAATTGCCACTGGCAAAAAAGGGTCTGATTTCTCGTTTTCCGCTTGTTAGACACCTCAAGAATTGGTTGGGCGATAGGTCTGGATTCCGGAAATCGCTCTCTATCTCTCTCCCTCTCTCTCGTTCCGTAGCTTCAAAAAACTACAGAAATCGAAAACATGACAATAGGGTAAATTGTACCAAGAGCAAATCCCGGATGACTAACAGTAAAAGTAAGATACTGCCAAGAAAAAGATGACAATCGCAAGGATATTGTGCAGGTGGCCGAGGATTACCCACTTACAATCCACAACCTGCATCACTAGCACCTCAGTGGCTACCCTCGGAGTGCGACTAATCCGTGCCCTCAGGGCACATTCCAACTCAGGCAGCACCCCCTGATCACCCTCCCCAGCTATCCCTCGTCAACTTCCCCCCAAAACACCCACCCCACCCACCACAACCCCCCGAAAAACGACTGATCGATCGGGCGCGCGAGCCGGCGCTGGGCGCGTGAAATCAGCGAGGAATTTTTAGGGGGGTGAAAAGTATACAAACATCTTAAGTTTCGTGGGTTCCCCGAACGGCCCCCCGATCCCACGGTGTGCCCTCGTTTTTAGGTCCTCCTCCTGCCCGGGATTTGCATAGCCGAATGGAATTTGAAGAAAGTTTGGGAGGGGTATTAGAGCATTTTTGGGGACCTCAGAAAATGTGTGATGGGGTCTTTAGACTCCCAAAATATGCTCGTTCGTCCCGACCCACCCACGAATATTGCCACAGCAGCGCCTCCACGGCGACGCTCGCCCTATTCCTTTGACCGCTTCTGCCGCATCGTTGCACGCCCCCCGGGGATAACGAGGAGGGGAGGGGGAAAAAGAAAGTTTGAGGGCTGGAATGGTATCTAGGGAACGTGGACCAGGAACCGAACGGGGGGATCGGCAGTTTCGACGATTCGTTGGTTTGAGGGATGGGATATGTGGGGCGGATGTATGAGGGTGGGAAGCAAAATTCCGGCAATATCTGTATCAATATGCAAATAGCTGAAAATGCCGACAGTCATAATACCGACAACAAAAATTAGTAAACTATAAGTTTGGATCTTTTTGGGATTACAGATGTCCAGATTCTAGTTGAAATTCAAAATTGTGGTATTAAAGGGACCGGGGACTTTTTCGATAAAACTTCTCTCTCAGGCAAACAATCTCTATACAATTTAAGGATCAATTGAAAGCAATCCAAAAAAGTGAGCAAGAAGTAGAATACCGTAAGCGACTGCCGACTATCTTAGAATTTTCAAAAACAAAAAAAACTCGAAAATTATGGTTCTTAATCGACTCTATTTATCAAAAACTTTCAAAAGCTGTTCGAAGGCATATAGTGAGGGTCAGAAACATTAAAATATTCTTAAGATTTCCTCCTACGATTCCCAGAACCGTCAGCATAACACAACCATTCAAAAATTCTGAATCACAATGGGCGCGAGGCTTCTCCCTACCCGCCGGATATTTGCCTTGATAACATGCATTTTCGAAAGAAGGCCTGCCAATGGTGAAGCCCCGCCGGGTTCCCACTGTTTTTTTGCCCCCCACACCAAAATGGCGCATCAGCGTCAAAAAATCGGGTGTGAAGCCCCTAGCCCCGGCAAGGAGGGGGAAATCCGCGCCAAAACCCAACTCTCAAAGTGGTTGTTATTCGAGTGGGGGCGCGAGGTTAACGATAGCCAAAGAATGCGGGCCGATGAGACCTGAGCGTTCTTTTTTCGTGAAGACTGCAGGTCTCCCTGTCACACAAAGATGGTGTGGCCGATGCGGAGCCGATGGGGCGTTGGCGCGGGTGGTGGAGAGGTGCTCGAAAGAATCAACACAACGCCCTCCTGCTGGTGGGCCCCTTCTTTTCTTGGGCCACTGGGTCTTTGGGGGCAAAGCAAGAACCATCAGCGGCCACAGTTCCCCGACGGATTTTGCCCTCGAGGGTTTTTTGAGGGGGAATGTTTGTAAAACAGGGGGGGGAGGGGGGGGTAGGTTGAGAGAATTGAGTGAAAAAAGGTTTTGCGACAAAGGTATCGGTTTGAGATTTGTAAATCACAAGAATCATTTGGATGGCAAAGCGTATGTGGATAGGCTTTCGGGCGCGTTTTGGTATCCGGACCCCATGATGCCCCTGTAGCGAATTATGCCATTGAAAACTTCTGCGAAAGTTAAAATCATGGCTAAAACTAATTTAAAAAAACTTATTGGCATGCACTTTGCATGATTCCCACTCGCCCCCCACCTGGCCCACTAGTGTAGAGGGGATCCCAAAGATTTCCGTGAGTTGGCCAACGATTGTCCCTCGGCTTAGGCTTAGGCTTAGGCTTAGGCTTAGGCTTAGGCTTAGGCTTAGGCTTAGGCTTAGGCTTAGGCTTAGGCTTAGGCTTAGGCTTAGGCTTAGGCTTGGGCTTAGGCTTAGGCTTAGGCTTAGGCTTAGGCTTAGGCTTAGGCTTAGGCTTAGGCTTAGGCTTAGGCTGGGAGGTCAACCCGGGAAATTGGCCATATCGATAGGCTAACCAAAAATTTTGGATGAAAATTTTTTTGTGCTTTGAATTGCCTCTAGGGTAGTCTTTTCGCTCTTTTTAATCAGATACCTTTTATTTAGAGCATTTCATCCTCCGCGAAGTGATAGCTTAGTTAGAAAACATTAATGAAAACCAAAAACGCTAAATTTAAAACCGAAACTACCAGTTCCTTGATCCCAAAAAAACCCTGCAATATTCCTAGCCCTATCACACCCCCCAAAAAGGAAACACCAAATGCAAATACCCCCACATGAAAGCATCGATATTTGTCAAGATCTGAATCAAGCCCCCACCCCACAAGCCCCCGCGGCCAGCCCCGGAACAAAATGATTTTGGCGTCCCCCGCCCTTCTGCCGTCTTGGAAAGGGGGAGGTTGTGGTTGGAGGGGCGACGTGATTGAGATGGAGGTGGCTGGAAAATGGAAATAAAAGGAAATGAACGCTGAGTCATCCCCATACACTGGCACTGAGGGGAGGAGGGCTCAAGGTTTCTTCTTTAGGCTCACTGCGACCAGACCCGGGCGGTGAAGTGACTGCGCTTCTCGCCAATCAAAAGTAAGGGATGCTGATTGTTATCATGATTGGGAGACGGGCGGGTTGCAAATTGGGGAGAGGGTTGTTGATGATTATTTTTCTGGCGAAATCTTTCTTCCTGGAATGGAGGGTTAATTTGGGGTTTTCCAAATGTCTTAAAGGGACCAGGAAGCACTTAAGAATTTAGAAATCTTGCTTCCTATTTTATTTCATGCTTGCTTTGACAAAATCGTAATACTCGCAAAATGGCAGCTAGAAAAGTGGTTGCGATTTTTTAAATATTGAATTCAGCCTGACGATGAGTTTCTAAAAATAGAGAATCAAATAAAAAGAAGGAGGTGGTGTGGATATTGTCAAATCAAATAAAAAAACCATTTATGAATTTGTAGGGCATTACAATTTTTCTGCATATGTGAGCTACAATAAGGATCTAAAAAAATAGCAATTTTAAGAGCAAGAAATCCTAAAAACATCCCAAGCTTTGGCCGGAAGCATCCGAACTGACCGTTCCAATCCTGCCATCTTCAACACACCCACACAAACACGCACGACGTCGTCGTCCCCCATTCTGATTCATCTCCACGGTCCTCCCACCTCTCCCCCTCAAACCCCCGGCTCATAAAAATCTCGATCCATATTTGTTCGAACCAAAGGCGGGCCTGGTCCCGCCAACCGAGTCCCAGGCTTATCGACAGTGCCATTATTTTGTCCACCCCAACGATGCGCCAGACAAAACCCCGGCCGGAATACTATGAAAATCCACCGGCCCTCGCGCATCGTTGACCTGGCAATTGGGTTCTGGTGGTGGGCTCATAAAAACGACATATGTCCTTTTGACGGGGTAGCGGTACGTCGAATATGGTAACAAAGCTATTCGCGCGGTAATTTATCACCCAAACTACCATAGTCAGGGGGTCTACAAAACAAAAAAAAGGGGGGTTTGAATTTGAAATTAGGGATTTAGAAGGTAGATGTGGAATTGGATCGTTGACCTGAAGGGGAAAGGCGTGGAGACGTTATTTTTGAAAAATACTGCGTTTTAAGGGGGCTGAGAACGCAAAAAAACAAGTTTTCGTAGAGCTTAAAAAATTTCAAATGAATACAACATCCTTAAAATTTTTTTGAATGACCATGCTAGTAAAAGCTTTACTTCTAAAAGCTAGTAAAAGGACTGACAAAGGTATGAAACGTCTAAAAATCAAATTTTTGACTTTAAATATAAATCATTACCCAAAAATGCTTTCTTAATTTGCATATGACCTCTTGAAATTCCTAGGAAAACCCTGTTTGTAGCTAAAATCCAGTTGAAGGCTAGAAAATTGCAAAAATTAAAAAAATCAGTTGTCTGACATCCCAGCTCCTTTGGAAAGCAAAAAGTATCTCAAAAAGGCTTATCAAAATTTGCATCTACCGCTTAAAATCTATGCTAATCAATCTCCCCACCCACTCATCTCCATTACCCATTCTCCAGCGCAAACAAAAACCTTATCCAACAGCCTATGCCTCTTTGCACACACCCAAAACATGACTCACCAGTTCCCCAACACTTTTAGACGGGGAACTATAGTTTTAATAGTTTTAACTCTAGCTAACTCCTCAAATACGTAT